CCAATGCGCATGAAAGTGCTCACGTAGCAGAACAAGATTTTGTTCCTGTAAAGCCTTTAATTTGTGTAGACATGGCAAACCGTACACACGAGAGAAGGCCCCCGTACAGACTGAGGAATGGTCTGTGCCATTCTTACTGAGCAGCTTCCGCTGCTCTTCTACTTTCCGGAGGGCTTCATGCGATACCCAGCCAAGTACTGCGCCATATATTGTTCCCGAAAGCTCGACCGGTATTCGTGTCTGTTGCTTGGCTTGATTAGATCTCAGATCCGAGAGCTGATTGAGTAACGCGTGCTTCATCGCTCGCCAAGCCTCGAACAGATCTAACGTGGATCTCTTTAGGTGCGATTTGAGCAGAGCATGGATGCCTTCAACCCGCGAGGTAGCCACGTTGCCAAAGTGCGTGTGCTGATCAACCCAGGCTTTCACTAGCTTCTCCTTGTACGGATGGAGCCAAAAGGACGTAATGTAGCCGACTTCTTCAAGATGGTCCGTAAGATAGCGTTCCTCGAAGTGAGAAACACGCTCCTGAAAGGTCATCTCAGACGGCGAGCTAACAATCAAATGCCAGGACTTGTAGAACTCTCCCCAGTTGTCAGTCGATGACTTCGGCGCTGCAGGGCTACTGGTTGTCTTCGTCTTGACAAGGTCGAACGCAGAGTAGCAATGCTGAAGCACCGCCTTGTTCGCATGCCAGAGGCAAAGCAAAGATGCCGAAGATGGAAAGACAGCGGCTACAGCATTGATGCATGCTAAGCAGCGATCTGTGAGGACAACCGCAGGTAGGCTAGCGTTGCACTGGTCATACAAGGACCTGACCCGCTCCAGAGCCCAGGTATAATCATCTTCCGTTTCGCCACTGAGAAATGCGAACGCGATACAGAAGGACCGCTGACAAGCATCGACGCCAACTATGTCAAGAAGCGGCATACCGTACTTGTTGGTCTTGTAAGTGCAGTCCAGCAACATTACGTCTGGGTAAGCTTGTAGGAGGGCTAGGGAATCTGGATGGGCGAACAAGACAGCTGTAACGCGGCCATCTGGTGCGAATTGCATTCGACTCCAGAAGCCTTCCTCGTCAAGCTGATTGGCAAGTGCGTGGATCGAGGTCTGCCCTCCACGAACATCTCGTTTGATGGCTGCAATATGATTGTAGATATCCTGTTGGGTTGCTACAGAGTTTGTGGTTTGTCGTATGTATGTCCGGATATCTCTGGGCGCGACGCCAGCATTTGATAGGCCGGCTACTTTCGCAAAATCCTCCTCTGTCAGCTTGCGGTGTGTTGGGTGAGCAGACGGATGCTGGCTTGGGGGGTGATTATGAGAAGAAAACCGTTTGTCGGGCCGGTGTCTCAAGCTCCAGGTGCTTTTATCCAAGGATTCCTTGGCAAGCACGGAAAATTGACAGCCCGTTCCTCTGCTCGTAGTTCGTCTTTGGCGCGCTATTGCTTTGCTTGGGGGATGACACGACCGATCGCACGAATACGTAATTGTCCGCCGCCCACTCTTCTCTTTGGTCGATCTCCCAGTCGTGAAGGCGTATCCCCTTGTTGCCGCCCAGTTGTTAATTGCCAATATGAGGTCATCGCGCGATTCATATTCGCTTTCAGGAGGTAGACAGTCGTCTAGGAAATTGAGTGCTGGGTTGTCCGGGGCTAATTCCATCCTTCTCAGAAACGTGTGGCCGAGTTGCCATGCCATGTGCAGAGAAACGTGTAGACTGACGCGAGACGCGTTTGTCAATCTGTGCCGCCCGCTTGCTTAGTCATATTCACGGGTACCCGTGGAATTTTACATGCACGGGTACCCGTGAGCCTATTGGGAGCCAATCAATTGGAGATGATGACTAAGCTCTATCGACTACATATGATGATGCATGTGATGCCGCATTGGAGAAGGTTAGTCTTGCTAACCCATCTCACAAAGCTAGCGTACCATTCAGATGGGAAATTCCTTTGTTGTTCTTGACGCAATCTCGATCTCTGAACCTTTTGTTGGTATAATTACAGCTGAGCGCGAAAAGAATCAGATCTGTGGTGCCAAAGATAAGGCGTTCCCTGGGCATTCGACATTCTTCTGCCAACATTCGTTGAAGCCATTCTTCGTGACGTTCAGTTCAACTTGCGAAGCGCTGTGACCGCCGAATCATTGATCATCATTCTCGGAAGAGTACTGACTGGGATTGATCGGAATGGCAGCGAAAGTGATTGAAAATCTCCTCTTCCCCTAGGGAACAAATCATGACTAATAGAGTGGTAGCAGAACGCAACTTCTCGAAGATGAGGCCTTTTTGCAGTGAGCAATATCAAATTTCTTTGATGACTGGATTAGGTATCATCTATCGTGGACCTTTTCCCCCTTTTAGACCACTAGACATGATACTTTGACGGGCCTTTCGCGTAAACTTTGCCAGCTCTCATTCCTGGGTCGAACCGCCATATCAGGTCATTCCATTCACTTCTGCTTCTTCTCCTAGGATCATGCTACGAGTAGCTTCCGAGCTGTGATCGAAAAATTATCAGGTCGCACAGTCTTCGAGTCCTTCTGTTTGCTCCAGTTTTCTTTCCCACCCATGGCCCATTTTTCCGTTCCACCGCACCGCGCCAGTTGAAAGCCATAGGTACTGTTCACTTACTCATCCGTCCGTTGGGTTTGCGCTGTAGGCGCCCAAATAGAGAGGTTGGATGAGATTGCTGAGCAGATATTGTACTTCTCCAAGCGTTCGTGGTCCCAAAACACGTATGCTCGCTCTCTGAGGGCTTCTTATCCGTTCTCCATTACAGCACGAGGACTGATGGAGTCTAGACCCTTTCGAGGTCCGTCATCAGCGTCGATATCTGCTAAGTTGGGCTCTTGCAGTGATGCATCCAGCTTTCTGTCATGCTGAGTGTTGCCATGTTCAATACGATAATCATACATCCGCAGTTCCACGTACAAGCAAGGTGAGTAACCTTACGGTACGCTGTCTAGTAGATCCGTCTTTTCAAAGTTTGACATTTTTTCGAGATTTTGAAGGAATTTCAACCCCTTGCAGAGCTTTGCGAACATTAGCAGAGCGTGAGAAAGCAGCATTAACAAAAGGCATCAACACAAGAGGTAGAGGATCTTACCCACCGGTCTAATGGGCAGTCAGTTTCGATACAAGCATTGTGTAGAGTTGAATCTTACCCGGGGATAGACACCGATGTATGAGGCTATCGGCGGCTAAAGCTCCTTTTGCAGCTGCTATGAATTGGCCGCTCAGATATTGCAACGTTGCTGCTATTTGCTCGACCTCCCAAATCGCCAGATCAGCAACCATGCGTTCCCCAGGACGCGCTTTGCATTCGTTCGCGAACTGGATTACTGGATCTAATGACACATTTCCCCAAGTCATATAGCCGTCCCTTAGTTCACCCAAACTGCGTGTCGTCATGAGTCCATAGTAAAGCTCCACTCGATAAAGACACCGGCAGAAGCGGAGCCACTCCTTTGGAGATAGATCTAGATGATTCGGCATCAAGTTCATGGACGTCATGTCGTTCAAGGTATTTGAGATGGCGGCCCAGGCTTCTCCGGATAAACGTGATGCGAAGTCGGCAACGGTGTCGTGGGTTTCCTCCATAGCTATCAGTTGCCGAAGTGAGAATGTGTGGAAACTGCTTGTCGACATAACAGCACCTCCAGATATGGGGCGGAAGACCAACGTATCTGCATCCTCAGATGTTAAGCTGAGGTATTTGAGCTTGACTTCCGTTGTTCGAGTGCGTGGTGCATGAATTAAGGCGACTGCGTACGGTATGAGTTGCCTGGGTAATTGTTTCCGAATAATTGCTGGGCGAGCCTAGGACGCTGGGTGTATGCATCGTAAAACAACTGACAAGACAGCAGAGGAGCCTTGAGGTCTTGCAACTTGTCGAGGTGGCCCAGAATCTCCGCGCTGATCTCGCATGGCAAGTTCGTAATCTTCATGGTATACGCAGCGTAGTTCCGAAGTTCACCTTATGCCGAGGAGACCATTGACGAGGGCGGGAAACTTTGGGCGTGTGAAGGAGTGGCAAAGCTCGATGGTTTACATCACGCGGCGAAAACCAGAAGGGCGAGACAAAGTCCGATCTTTTCGTTGGGAAGGAGCAGAAGGAGTAGTTGGCCAAGGGGCGAAAGTCGACAAACGGCAGGAGGTATTGACATCTTGAGGTACCTACCTAACGTAGGGAAGGCGAGAGGTCAATTCTGTAGTTGCCTGGGAACTTCAATACCTACCTCCCTTCTTAGGTAGGTAGGTGCGTGAAGGTTTGGCTCTTGTGAGGAAGGAACTGAGGAGGTATTGAGAAGATGAAGTTGAGGTGGACACCGTCACACATCCAAAACTCCGGAGAGAAGGACCGGAAGCGGCTGATCGCACCTCATCGCCCGTGTTTTGTTACAAGCCCGCGATACATTCCGTAAGGTAGATGCTCAGCCTGACATTGAAAATGGCATTCACATCAAGTCGCCCTCATTAGAATGGAAGGCCCACTCGTGAGCTGTGAGCCAAAGTCAGAACCATAAAGATGCAGCCGTTGAATGCTATACAAAAGCTTCAGAGCCCTCTAGTACTGATAAACCGGAGTCGGAAATCTTGATTCACAGGCAGAAAACATCATTTTACGATTGGAGAGACTTGAGGAATCCCCACACGCGCCTGCGTCCTTCCTGGAAGTTGCTTCCGTTCAGCACACCGACTTCCAAACGGCGCTATTGAGCTTTCTCTTGGCTCAACGTGGCTAGGCTTCTAGCGCCATGGTGAAGTGTTAGACGCAATGGAAGAGAATATGTTGTTGAATTCAGGGGAGCAAACGGTGGAGCCGAGACCCGCATCCGCCCCGGCTCCGGGTCTCCGCGGGTATGCGGACCGACCCCAGAAAGTGGGCCCGACGGCGCATCGGGTGAGGCGCTCTACAGGTTACGTGATCCACATCGCAGTCGTGTTACTTTCCCATTCCTCCCGAGGCTCCATTTCTTTTTTCTCGCTTCGGATCGTTGGCAACTTCCCCCTGAGCTTTAAATGCAGGACCGGACGAACGACTGAAGCAAACCATTGCGAAAGGGTGTCGTTCTGACGCTTCCAAACCCAACTTAAGATCTTCGCTAAAGACCTGCAACGATTTTCAGCTCCGCAATTGGCTGCTACCACCCTGGGTTATCGGTAGCTTTTTAGCACGAGGGAAATCTCAGTCGCGTCGAAATCACGCGCTTTTCTTATTTCGCCAGCAGAGTCAACGTAGCTTCCAGCAGTAGCATCGACAATTCGCGAGGTGGCACAATGAGTCACAAACATCAGACCCTCCGCTTTGCGAGCGACGCAACCGCGGGCGATGGTATCTGGGGCTACCCAACAAGCAAGGCAAAGTAAGCAAGGCTCCAAGAAACCGAGTCGTCGTGATCACATGCTGACGTAGCACGTCTTTTCAGCTTCTGCGAAGAAGACTATATCTTCACGCGCTACATCGCAGAGTTCATCAATTGCCTATCCAATGCCACGTACAGTGTGTGACAGCCCTGCCACATCCATCCCTGTGCTCATCATACTGAACCCTCCAACAGTCTACCTCGCCCTGAAGTACCCCAGGGCCAACTCCAAGGTCGCGGTGCCGTGGTACCGAACTCTCGACATCCAATCCATCGGCCTCCTCGCCGTCGGTATCTTCTCTGGCATCTTCCACGGCACCATGCACCAGGAGACGCAGCTACTCGACGACCTCTCCATGCTGGTCCTCGCCGGCTCGCTTGTCCAGCCCCTGTACGCCTTCCGACAGTCGCCCGCCGTGGGAGCCGCGATCACCACCTTCCTCTGGCTCGGCATTGCCACCATGGCCGTCATCTACGTCCGCTCCGGGGACATTGCCATCCACGTCGCGACCTTTACCGGGCTGTTGACCTTTGTCTGGCCGCGAACACTCTTTATCGTCTACTGGACTGGACGCTACTCGAAAGAGGAGCAGAAGAGACTGATGAAGCAGTTCTGGAAGGCTTGTATCATTTTGATCGTGGGCTTCACGTTGTGGCACATCGACTTGGAGTACTGCGCCGAGCTGAGAGCCGCGAGGAAGAGTCTCGGATTGCCTGCCGCGTGGCTGCTGGAGCTCCACGGATGGTGGCATATTTTCACTGCTCTGGGTGCGAGCTGGTACATGAGGTTGATTCGGAAGCTAACCTCAGTCGAACGGATCGCCATTGGGAAGAAGGCGCAGTAAAGGCGAGCGTCCTTCTGCCAGACTTTCTCCGATCCCAACACCTTCCTCGATCCCAGTACCTTCTTCGATCCCAGCACCAGGTCTTCAGCATGCGAGGCAGGTCGACTTACGCCCATGGGTTATGGCATCCCCAAATCAGCCTGGAAAGCTGGTAACATTGATAGACATCACATAGAACTCAGCGTTTAGATGGCAGCGTTTGGGAGTTAGGACGTGAGTCCCTTAAAATCAAATAAAAAAATAATTCTTTCCCCTCAGGGTATGACGGTTGAAGGATGTGAACCGCCTAGCTTTTGCATTCCTCTCTGAAGACACACTGAAAGCCATCCGCCGCGCAACAAAAGTTGGGTGGTTTGCACACTCCCTTGTTTCCTCGTGCATCATCGCAGGCCACTTTGGAGGAGCAACTTGTCAGCAACGGTTCGTCCAAGTCCATGCATGGTAATGCAAGGTGTGGCTCCAACTTACATGTGAGGGAGAGAAGTCCCGAAAGAATGATGAGTGCGCTTTGTTTGAACTGCATTGCGTCTGATGGCGAAAATGACCTAAAGACTTGGTGGAGTAGAGAGCTTCGTTTTTCAAGAATGGCGGTGCTTTAAAGGTCGTGATCTAGAAGAACAGGTCCATCACTTTATATTGTTCCGAAGGCTAGCGATTCAAATACCACGCATTGAATCCGGGCTTTCCGGAGACATCGCCTTGTCGGTATCGCCGGCGCACATAAGATAGACGAAGCCAGACTCCGACATAATGCGACTCGCCTATATGGCAGCTCGCCAAGGCGGTGGAGCTGAGTTTCAAGGCACGAGCGAGCATGAGCTGAATACTATTCATCAATAGCATATTCATCCTGATCATAAGCACCGCAAGACTCAACGTTTCAGCCCCCAGTAAGGCTGATGTACCAAGTGGATGGGTTCGATCAGCCGGGTCCCCATGGGCGGCGGGGATGGCATGCAGTAGTATCATTAAGTCTGGGGTCCCTGGCTCGTTGGGCCAAAGCATGAGAAAGTGACAGCTGCCTCTAGGCCACAATAGTAACAGTACAATAAAGTTGTGCTGTCAATGAGCCTAGTGAGACCACCGCTTAATATGGTCAAGCTCTTGGTCAAGCCCCAACCAAAGTGAGAGGAATACTCCCGAGTATTCGATTGGGGCAGATTCAATCCAAAGTCAGGCCAAGACCGCCGACATCGCAGGTCCACGGTCGGCAATTAGGTTTGGCTTCGTGTACAATAAGTGGGCTTCCGTAGCTGACATCGACGGTACTGTAAGTTTCATGTCTTTCCGAGTATAGGGCTGATACAGAACCATGCAACTTCTCGAACGGCAGCCATAGAGTCGATCGTCGGTAAACTCTATTCTATTTCTGGACCTGACCGAGAGCCCGGGTAACACGATATACTGGGCTGAGCTCCATACCGGCGACGCGACAAATGAGAGAGAGCTGTCATACCCACAAATTTGCTACCTCAGTAGTATTTGTTGTGGACTGAGGCGAACTGAATGATCTACTCGGACTGTTCTTTATTGCTTCGTATGTTACGTACTTTGTATGACCTCGATGATTACGCTCCTTGTTTTTCAAATGACAAAATTGCATCTTGCCTTACTTTGATGCGGTGAACTATCTTGCGAAACTAAGGCAAGGATTCTAATTTCTTTTACAGACACCTATCCCTACATAATTCACCATAATGCGAACTTTGCACCAAGTAGTTCTCTCGCAGCGTCTGTGTGTATTGTAGCCGAAAGTGTGTTGTCTACCGGTCTATGAATGGCCTCTGTCTCGAACTCCAGTGTTTCTCGTGAGAGACCTATCTATTCGACCCAAGACTCTAATTGTCAAGAAAGGATCCCCTAACCCCCAGTGTTGAAATAAGTCTTGTACCATGACATGTCTTGCTGTCACCTCAGCAAATGCAATACTCGTCGTGGCTCATCTGAATTTGCTTAGGTGTCACGGGTGCCCCAGGCCTCGGTGCTCAGGGTGAGCCAAGCGTAGACGTCAAGGATTGGGTTGGCGTTATCCAGGAGGAAACAGGCCCATATCTGGCGAGAGGTGAAGGGGAAGCGACGCGCAAAGGCGTTGTAGGTGCGGAACCAGCCCCAGATGTAGTAGCCAGCAACGAAGTAGCTGTCAGGGAAAAGGTCAGTCATAGTCTGTCAGAATTGGTCAGAGGAACGGAAACTTACGCGATGGGAGACTTCTTAGCAATACACATCATGAAGGCAATGATGTGGACCCAGGCAATGACAGGGCGAAGAAGACGCTCGATCATCTTGCGAGCCATGTAAGGGTGCTTCCTATTTGAGTGTTAGCTTCTTGAAGCCTCATCATAGAGAGAAAATTACAAGGAGGTCAAAAGAGAGAGGGAGGCCTTACTGCTTGATCTTGCGGATGCCAGGCTGATAGATCACAGTCGTGAGAAAGGACTGGATGGCGTTGCGCTGCCAGCGGATCATCTGGTGCAGCAGGCCAGAGTCACGCATGACGAGGGTGGTAATCTCAGCCTGAGGGGCATTCTGAACAGCGATGTCCCAGCCCTCGGTCTGGAGCCAGCGGGTGAGGAAGACATCATCGCCAGTGTTCATGAGCTGGCCGTTCCATCTATCGTTGGTGATGGCCTCCATGAAGCGAGGGTCCTGGGCAAGGTCGGTGCGGACCATCATGGTGCGACCGACCATGCACCAGCAACCGCCATCGGCGGCGGAGCGAACGGCCTGGACATTGTTCTGGTTGTCGAGAGAGCGGAGAGAGGCAACCTCCCAAGGGGTGATGATGGCCGGGTTGCGGCGGTCGGAGCTGATGAGAGCGCTGTGAGAGTTAGCAAAATGTCACAAGAAGGAAGACCTCTTTGAGAGTAAAAAATGAGGGGGGAATAGAAAATTCACATACCTCTGCTTGCCAGTGACGCCGCCAACCTTAGGGTCCTCAAAGCCAGCCAAGAGGTAAGGCAGAGTCTCCAAAGTGCCCCAGAAGGCATCATCGTCGACAAGGGCAAGAATCTTACCCTTGGCCTCTTTGATGCCGACGACCATCTGGTAGCGCTTGCTGGCGTAGTCGGCTGTCATGACACTGATGCGATCATCGCCCTCAATGATGACAGGCTTGACCAAGTCATGGACGCGCTGAAGGTCACGATCGATGGTGACAATGATGATCTCCTTGGGCTTGTTGGCAAGCCACAGACGAAGGCAGTCGGTGAAGGTATCGGGGGTATTGATGGTGGCGACAATGATGCTGACATCAGTGCTCTTGAAGCTGGGCTCCTGAGGAAGGGGAATGGGCTCGACCTTTTGCATGAGCTTCTTGGTCAGAACCTCGTCATAGGCGTACCAGGCCCTTTAAAAATAAGTCAACTTATCATTCCTATTCAATGTGCATGGGAGAGAAAGGGAAAACTTACCACATGACACCAAGAACGTATTCAGACATTCTGAGTATCTTATTCGTGTGTTGCTTAATGTGTGAAAGGGTTTGTGTGATAGAAGAAGGGATGCGCAGGTGCGAATTCCTTTGTTGCGATGGACTGGATTGATTGTTTGTGAGAGGAAGAAATATCTCGGAGGGAAGTGAGAGGAAGGGTTTTGTCGGCGGAAGAAGGCCGTTGAAGGGAAGGCGCGTGTGAATATTCACTGGATTGACAAATGAATAAGATGAGTGGGTGGTGATTCACTGCGAAGGAGCTGAAGGTGAAGTTCGAAGGTGAAGTTTGAAGACAAAGTTCAGATATCAATCTCAATTTTGGAAGGAGCGAGACGGCAGGAGAGGGCAAGGATAATCTGGCGGTTTTGTCCGGTGAGACGAAGTATGAGGGCTCACAGTACCGAAGTGATTGCTAGGACTTAGTGTAGACTTCTTATGTAGGCACCGATATGTCGTGTGTTGGAGTGTGTAAAGCTTGTATGATGAGATGTTGGTATTGAGATCAACTGAATTCTCAACCCAGCTTTTCACTTATGGTATTTAATGACGCCAATTCGTTGTGTTCAAGAGACCAGTAAATGAGGACAAGACGAACAGGATGAAACATCATTTCCTTTGCTATTCAATCTTGTGATAATTCCCTTCAAGTCTTGTAAAGTAAAGCCTACAGGGCTTGTTGACAATGTCCTTGGGCAGCGACACGAGCCTTACCGATGATGAAAGGAGCACTGATTGATACGCTGAAGCTCTCTCATTGTCTTTCCAGTATATAGACCAATATCTTTCCGCAACCTAGGAACATGAAAGCCAATTCTTTGGTCGGCTGTGTTCTTAAGTATCACTTCCCCGAGCGTCCCGGATGCGAAAGGCCTGAGCCACAAGCGCCGCTTGCTCATCTCTCGCCATCTCCCTCTGACGACGACGAACCCTCCTCCACTTCCATACAACAGCGGCTGCGACAGGGATGAGAAAGACACCAAAGGCCTTGAGTTCATTCTCCTTCGTCTGGCGGCGTCTTTGATGGAACTCAGTCTCCTGCAGGCCGAAAACGTCGCTCACCCATCTGCAAACAGTCTTCTCTCTCAGCTGCTGCGGAATGGCGAACATCTCGAACTCTTCCGCGGGGTACACTGGGAGGAGCATCTGCAAAAGCTGAATGAGGACCAGAAGTTCGGTGAACGCGATGATGGCGACCTCGTCGGGGACGGGGATGACGGCGTCTGAGATCTCAGCGCTGAGGCCGTAAAGGGTGATTGCGAGATCGAGGGCAAGGAGACCAACGGCCAAGCACTCCCAGGTCTTTACAGTGTGATTGATGGTTCGAATGAATTTGTTCATGGCGTTTCCGTATTTTTCTGAGGTGCAGATGCCGTACCAAGTATCCCGAAGCGCGTTACAGAGGAGGTTTTCTGTCATTCTTCGCTCCGTGATAGCCGTGTAAAGAGTTTCTATTCCAGTAGTCGGGGTCAAATGGCGGGTATTTTGCTTTCTCCCTCGGTTACTGTTCGACTTTGCTGAGATGTGTTTCAGTGCTTTTCGTCTTTATGCAGACCGCTGGGCCTGTAAGAACTTGGGGATCGCAGCTGGTGAGTACAGGAATTGAGAGAGAAAAAAGTCAAACTTACACTCAGAGGCTAAAACTGGCTGTAATTACTGGGACGACTGTCAAGGATGGAGCCGTCAATGTAAGTCCAAGGTAAAGTATGCCCCTTTCACTTCAACCGAGCAACGCGTCAGGGAGGCACCCGTGTCTGGTTCCAATATTGTGCGGATGTTACGCGCTCATAGGTTTTCACGTGATTCATATCTGAGGATGGCAAAGTCCCTCGGTAGTCCAACAACATGGCGAAGCCTGAGCCTGGACCACATCTTGAATAAACAAAGGACGCGGGGGCGTTGTTGGAGAGCCATGCTGGACTGCAAAAAAGAAAGGGGCTTCCCCCTTTAGGTATGACCAAGGCTTTTACTTTCTTTGGCTTTCAGAGTGATCGCCGGAATGTTAAACCACGTGCATCCGTCTTTGAATTGTACAGGAAGGCTGTAGCTAAATAAGTACGATGAATACTTCAATTGCGAGTAGTCCCCAATACAACATTGATAAGAGCCACCTCAGGTAATACGTTTTCGGCCTAGATGTCGTTCTCGTCATTTACTTCTGGTGTGTCTCGAGTCTAGAAAATAAACACTTGTGCTCAAGCCTCTTCCGCCTGTTCCAGCTGGGACTTCTTACTGCTCAAATCTTCCACCTTTGTGATCTGCGCGCCCAAGCCAGTCGAGACATACTTGTCGAAGCTCCGAGTCTTAACCTGAGCCTGGAACATCTCGTCGAGTTCCTCCAGCGAGCGATTCTTCGTCTCCGGAACAAAGAAAAAGACCCAAAGTAACGCAATCACCGAGAAGCCCCCGTATATGAAAGTGACAGCGCCGCCGAGGTTTGCTTGAACGTAAGGGTTTAATAAAGTTAATTGGCACAGAAGTGACGAAACTGCCCATGGAAGCTAGGAAAAGTGTCTTTTCTCTGAGCTGACCCGTTCCGATTTCTCCAGCAACGACCCAGCAGCCAGGGCCCCAAGTGAAACCGTAGATCTTGGGAAGAATTAGCAGAGACCTCCTTATACAGAACCGAACCGATATACTTACCATATACCATAGTATTAGGAGTGCCGCTGAGCAGTTGGCAACAGCGCTGGAGTACTTCCCCGCGGAGCCCGTTGCTGTCGCTGCTCCCGTGCCGATCATCGTACCGGCTAGTCCAACAGCCCCCAGGGACAAGGAACGGCGACGACCGATCTTGTCAAATGTCAAAAACGTGATGATGTGGACGGCGAAACTGCATCCAGTCACCATGAGGTTCGTCCGAAGGGGATCCGGGAAGCCAAGCTGCTGCATGAATGTGACGATAAAGTTCTGAATGAAGGAGACACCCTGCGCTTGCTGAAGTATCTGAACACCCATAGCGATAACGGTTCGACGGAGGTTGGTTCCCTTGAAACAATCTCTGAAAGAGGTTGCCTTGTGAAGTTCTCGCTGTTCCTCGACTTGAGCTTTGAGAAGCTGTACTTCCTGCGCAATGGTTTCTGGACGATTTGAGAGCCTTGTGAGCACTTTCTCTGCCTCTTCGTACTTCCCACCGTAAATGAGGTACCGAGGTGACTCTGGGAGGAACGGAAACATAGTCGCGTATCCCACGGGGACGAATAGCTGGCAAATGATTACGATCCTGGTCAATAGCATGTAAGCGATGCCTTGAGTCCGAATTTTGTCAGAAACCTTACAGATACTGCCATTGATCAGTCCGACTTCGCGAAAGGTACACCGTAACGGCAGACAGGAAAACGCCCAGAGAGAGAAAGAAGCTATAGAGCGCCAGGAAAGCACCTATGAGAATAGTCAGCATAAATCAAGCGAGTAGAGTCCTGTCGCTAAGATACCTCTAATCCGCGGCGGAGCGCATTCCGAGAGATACATGGGGGTGACGTTGGATGACAAACCCATGCCAGCGTACACTAAGATCCTCCCAACAACAAGCTGCCAAAAAGATGTCACAGCAGAAGATTCAAGTACCACACCGGTTCCCATAAGAGCTGAGATTATAAGGAACGAATTCTTCCGACCGAGCCTGGATGTGACAAGAGGGGCCATAATGCAGCCGAGAATAATACCTGCGGAGCCTGTGCCTGTACCGACTGATGTCTTGTCTGCTGGGATCGCGTATCGCCCGAGTTCCTCGCTGTAGGCACCGTACTTCCGTTGGAATTGAGACAAACCTAGAGCGCCTCCCCACCAGCCGTTGTCGAAGCCGAAACCCATCGCGCCGAGGTTGGCAACACAGCCGATGAGGACCAGGCGCCAGTTGAGGTCCTGTTACAAGGGATCATTTTTGAATCTCGAAATCATGTTGAAAAGAAGGTGAGAAGATCGGACTACTTGGTTTTCTCACGAACGCTCCTGAAGGCGCCCGCCCCTAAATGTCTTCGCATAGCATATAGATATACTCGGTCCAAATCTGCCTGAAAATGCGGGGAGCCACGGAGAAGAGATATTCTATCCCCGAATTTCCCAGACTTTTCTCATGCAGTACAATGTAGCAATGCTTGGGATACTCAAAGCAACAATCACGAGCGATGAGGATTGGAAGGGGCAAATTTAAGCACTTCGCTGCCGTGACCGGACGCTCATCTGGCAGGGAAGTTGCAACTCGGCTGTTGTTCTCCTCGTCTGTGCGGGGCAGAATCTCTATACGGGGATCTCTCCGATGTTTGGGACGGAGTAAGCTTATTGCGACGATCTCGAGAGATGACAGGGGTATCCAGCTTGCCTGCATCATCTTTCAAAAAGGGCAAAGAGTGGCTCTCGCTTCCATTCTTGCAAAGATCCTCCATGATAGCCGAGTGGCCAACGTATGATGCAGATGCTAGCCGAGCAAAATTACGCAGCCAAGGAGCCCACGTGCTGTTCGGGGTATGGGACTGAAAGATCTCGTTTCCAACCCGCACGTCACGTTGTCAATCACTTGTTAAGGTTATGTTGGCACCAAGAGGTCTGTAAATAGTATATGCACATTGACTGACTAGAGCCACAATAAAGAAAAATGTACTGTCGAAAGGGAAAACACGCTATGTCCACAGAGCAACATCCACCACTGACAAGTTCACGCTTAGCAGATGTTGCGAGCGCCGTTGCCGGAAAGGTTCCACTTGATGTTCGTGCCGCAAGGAGACTCGCGGACGGTGGTACCGTCGACCTTGGCGGTGATGCTGATGTCGCGGGTGATGGGGAACTCAGAGCGGGCAGAGAGACGGACCTCACCGCCACCGTTGACGGTACCGCCCTTGATGGTGACGCCGTAGCAGTTCTCAATGAGGATGGCGTTGTTTCCGTTATTAGCAAGATCGATGCTGCCAATCTCGGCACCGCCAGACTGAGAGACGCAGAAGATGCCACGACCACCGCCGCGGGAGACAACCTTTGTGACGTAGACGTTCGTGGTGTAGGCGCCGCTGGCGAGCTGGCCATTGTTGTTGGCGAAGCGGAGGGTCCCGTAGCCGGTGCCGGCACCAACGTTGTTGCCATCGACGAGGCCGACCTTTGCGTTGGTCGTCTTTTGGAGCAGCAGTCCCGACTCGCCGCAGTTCTTGGCGATGACCTGGTCAATGGTCAGGCCGTCAATGTTCCAGGTCTCGACGGCGTGGCTGCCGGCGCCGTTGACGGTGATGACTCCCATCTTGACATTGGTGTTGGCGGCCTGGTCGCGGTCGAAGCGGATGCCGATGCCGCCACTGAGGTTCATGTTGATAGCGCCGAGGGTGAGGTCCTTCGTGCCGTAGAAGCGGAGACCAAAGTACGGGTTTCCGGTCATGGAGAGGTAGGGGATCTTGACGCCCGAGGCGTTGGTGACCTCGATGGCGCCGCGGCCGGATCGGAGGGCGACATTGATGGTTCCGCAGCCCTCGAAGGTCTTGCCGCTCTGAATGGTGATGGTATTGGCGCCGATGGAGCCAGAGGCGATGACGGAGACGCGCTGGCCGCTGCTGATGGAGTCGACGGCGGCCTGGATCGCAGCACGGTAGTCGGAGCCGGAGTAGACCTGGCTGGAGCCCTTGGTCGCCACGAAAGAGCTTCCAGATCCAGTGACCTTGGCGTCGGGCGTGCCGGAACCGCACTGGGCGGCAGCAGAAGAGGCGAGTGCCAGCACTGCCGTGAGGAAGGATGACTTGACCATGACTACGGGCTAGATACACGGATGATAATAGAGAGGGAGAAGAAGTAGAGTGTGTGGTGTCACAAAAGTCTCTTCTTGAGAGAACTTCGAAATGGCGACCTGTTTATATCTGATGGCCCCCAACGACTCAACCAGGTGGATACGGCGATGTTCCAGATGCGCGCCACTCCGGTAGATTCTCCCATGGGGCAGGCACGTTCGTTGGAGGACGAAATTGGCCCGGTCCCTAGACCGGGAATGCATCCTCCGCATTCATTTACCACGAGCTTGGAGGCGGCTCGGCATGGCTACGGAGTGGCTACGGAGTGGCTACGGTTGGGCCGGGGGTGAGCGCCGGTTGGACAGAAATTGGGAAACAGATTCGCCAGTTCGGTTGAGAGCTACACGAATGGCACCCTAAAGAAGGGAAATGGAAGAGTGGATTGCTTGCTCTAAGAAAACAGACCTTCCCGATTCATGCTTTTGAAACTTCCGTCCCTTGGCTCACACGTTGGGTCTTGGCACGACGCTGTCTTCGCTTGGCGTCACCTGTGAGGTGATCGACAGAGCTGCTCTAGGAACATCTGAAGACAACAATTGATGGAATTTGAATGGGAAGAGTCAATATACCGCTTGAGCTAAGAACACGTCGTTATTGATTGACTGGCTTTCACTATTTCAATATGACCCTCGAGTTCGTAACTTGGTATTCTCGGAGTACTCAACACGTGGCAAAGCCTGAAGTCAAGTCTAGACGCATAGCACTATATACAACGAAATGTCAAGCCTTGGCAGTACAGCGTACATGCTGGCGCAAGGGGAAGCGTCTCATATTGACAATACTTTTTACATCAGGCCACAGCCGCTTTCCGGTGTAAGCTTGATTGTCTCACGAACGCTAAGTCCCGCACTTGATCCACTGAGCGAATAACGTCATCTGAAGTTGTTTCTTGGGGGCTTTTCTAGGGAAGACTGGCAGACTTGCGATTATATCACCTGAAGTTATTGGGCAGCGGAAACGGGGATTTCGAGACGGATCCTTCGGCTCGCACTTAGATGCCCCTGTAGGAAGCAATTAAATATTGGCCAGTGGCATGGTCATCTGGGCAGATTGGTAGACTTTATTTAGTGGGCTCATGCACGATCCTCTTCCCCCGCCTTTTTGACTGATGACTTCGCTGCCTCTGCCGACACACTGCAGATTCTCGTAGAATTTCCATTCAGCTCCTGTAATTCGCAGAGCCAAGCGTCACTTTCGTAGGGCGATGATTGATAGCCATAGCGTATGGTCAAACGCTTCTGTCCCTTTTTAGGGGGAGGACAAATGTGGGGAGAGCTGGTCCTGACAAGAAAAGGTCGAATTAGTCCGTCTTGGCGCGCTACCACCCCTCAGCCGGCAGATACGAGCTCGATTCGTGACCGCTGCAGGGGGCTTTGGGTAACTACTTTAGTGGCTTCTCATGCTGTCGCCCAGTGCCAAGCGACGTTGAGATTGGGTTCAAGGTGAAGAACCAGGTCTAGCCGGAACCTGCTCTAGTGAGAACTACAGGCGAGCCTTTACTAATTTTCCTGGGCTATCAGGTGACCATGATGATTCGGCTTTCGGCCAAAACGGGGCCGATCTAAGACCCGTGGGAGAGAAAGAGGTTCAGTTCCCAGGAGACCGGCTACTGTAAAATTCTACTTCCATGAGAGCAAGGAGTGGGCTTCGCATTCAATGTTTGTAACTATAGCAAAAGGTCTTGTTACACAGTTATCAAAAAACAGATGAACACTTCATGCGCGTACTGCCTACCAGTCCTGGTTTACCAGCCCCTATGTCTGACCGTCGTGATGAGTATGAAAGTAGGACTTGCAAATGCCATGCTTGGGCCTTCAGCTCTGACTTTCCCGACTTGAGTCCACTGGATTTCGCGTTCAACAATTTCGTAAGATACACCCGCCTCAGTTTTTTCATACCAATCATTCCCTATTGACAATTCCATCAACAATGATGTTCTTTTGTTTCGCAGTTCCACTCGGGGAAGGCACTCCCGCCTCGATCACTGTGGCCGCACTCGATTCAGCTCTTTCCTAAAGTCTTCGAAGAGCACAGTGCATATAGGCAGCTCTGGGGACCACGACCTCGTCAGGAGTGAACCCGCCAGGCTCGGCATATTCACACTAGCGCCGGACGGGACCCCTTACTTACGAGTGAAGATCAATTATTTGGCCGAGATTCCTGAGTAACGGTGTCGCTTATACTCTTGGCCATACAACATTCACTAAAGTCCAATCCGTCGTAGAGAAGGCCATCAAAGATTACACTAAGTGCCTCAACAAGACTGCGACCGCCCAGGGTAGGAATGTCGGAGAATTGTTCTCCAGCGACTGCAGTGTGAGATCGTTCTTCAGTCTCGGCAGAGCAATTCTTGGCATTGTCCGTATCTTGCCAGGGATGAAGCCGTTGGCGACGAACCCCTTTTCTGTCTGAGTTGTGAATGCCAGAAGGACGAATTCGCATCTCCCGTGGCCACGATGCGTGTCTAAGGATGCAAGATTCGACAGTGTTGAGAAGGGGCATCTTGCATACGGGCGGAAAAGATTTAGCCAAGATACGACGTAGATCTGCTCTCCCTGAAAGTATGTGTTGTAATTCAGGAGGGATTCGAGATGCTCGAGGCACGGCAATCCACCGACACGATCGGCTGGTGGGCGTGGGCATGTGTGACGGAGTCTTTGTAGTGGTATTTGGATTTACTTCACATACAGGATGCCGTTTGAGATACCATAATTACTGTCAGCTCTACTTAAGACAGGTCATACTCTTGGAAGAAGAGCAGAATCTGCCTCCTCCATGGGGGTCCTTTTCACAAAAAAACCTAGTTTTGCATCCTCGTCGGGGAATACATCAACCCGAACTTTGTTTTGCATTTCGAGGGGGACTCGGAGTTAAGTCACATCACATCGAGTCGATGTCAGGGAATGATTCCCCATTGACAAGCAGATATCCTCGCCACTAGACTTTCGGGGAAGTGCGCCTGTGAGCATCCAGTGATAGAAGATTGGGGGCCGAAGCCCACTTGGTTTAGATGTAGCAGGTCGGTGGGTAGACGATGAGGCTAAGTTGTCGACATTTAGACTGACCCCGACGCGGCACTTGGGAAGTCTTACGGGTCAACGATCATTGCCCCGATTTCTATATAGGCAGAGATGTAGCAATATAATTATTTGGTTTCACATGGTTTAAGTTGTCAACCTTCTTTGCGATGAAATACCCCTTTCCGGCGATCAACCCAAATTCCGCTTGTAGAGCTGACTCTTAGAGAACGACAGTCTGGTGCCTATTCACCTATCCTTTAGAGATCTTCTCAGCCCAACCTTGCGACAAGGACAGCTCAGTCAGCATCGCGAGTCCGGGTTTGGTTCTTTCTTGTCTGATATGATCATCCTTCACTTATCCACTGCAGTCATGTGGATATGGAGCCAAATCCATGATCTGCGGACTGAGTTTCCTTATTGCCTTCACTTGATACATGTGGATGCCGGAGACTGCATGAAACCCTCTTGAAGAGAGTGACAGTCTGTTTCCTTGATTACCGGTTTATTCAGCACACAAAGAAACAGATTCTCTCTGTAATCGTTTCATCCTGGCCCCCGCTCTTGTTCTAACACCAACTTACTGAGATGGGCTGCGTTTTCATTTTACCTGACGCCCGATTCGTCTGCTACCTTACGTTTCAAGATATGAAATCTTTGTTCAAGACCAATGAACTACGGAAACACTTATATCGTTGAACTTGTTCGTGGGATAGGACTACACAGACGGACCGCCGATGGCAAATTGGTAACCCGGAAGGTTCACAAGATTCAGCAGCAGAGAGACAGAGGGTGACACCATACTCCAATGTCCAAGCATTCCGACTGAGGTCTTATCTATGTATTATGGGAGGCAAAAGTGGCAGTGCCACGCTATTCCTCGATTCCAATGTCAAAATGATTAGTTATCGTGTCTCAAATAACTAATGTAAGTTCATTCAGGAGCTGCTTGCAACATGGCTCAAGTCATGGGCTTGCATGTCAATCTAACAAATGGGCCAGATGCTCATCTCATTTTCATCACAGACATCGAGACTTCGAGAAGTTGAACATTGTGGGCTTCATGTTGTTTTTGTAGGATCAGGTCTATGACCGAACAGTCCATATGCCTCGCTTCATCAAAGTCCAGAGTCGAACGGACACTGGGCCACGCAAAAGATGCCCTATGTTCTCCACCGAGACTTTTCCGACGTGCAAGACAAGTCCTTTTGTGAAGCATGTTTGCCTCGATAGATAATCGAGAGCCTAAAACACAAAAAAGTCGGTGCTCATCATACAACATGTAGATACTCCTTCTGTTCTTCGTGAAGGGTGAGAGTTGGGATGCTAGATGGCAATCGTCGGTACATCACCTGGCTCGAGAACCCTCCACCCACTTTGTGGACCACGACAAGGTCAAAACATACTTTATCAAGCCTTTTATTGCTTCTATAACAAGTCTATGCCAAATTTACAGCACATGCTACTATGCTGGAGTGATGCATTCTCACCGCCCCTTTTTCTAAGCAGTTCCACGTCATCAGCTGACAGGGTCGACTTGCCAACAGGCCCTGCTTGGGATCCATGTACGCAATATCAGGGCTTCTTGGAGCCTATAGAGAATTATTCTCAACCCAGTAGATGGCTTAACGACTCTTCGCTCAGCCCTAGCTGGTGCGTCTGTCCATACAACTATGCTGGATTTCCGGAACACCCAGCTGTTGCGTCGTATCACAAGGTGATGTGAGCTTTAAAGACTATGTTAGACTTTCTAGTATGCATAACTTCTAGCTCTCAGCAAGGTGTGCGCATAGTGTTCACAGATGTTTACGAAATTGTTTTGTTCACCTCGTCAAGTTTCTGGGAGATCTGAGTTGAGCAAACGTACCACAACTTGAATGAAACACCTTTGAAGCCTAGATATCATTTGCCTCAGATGCGGACTCATGATCAAAACCAGTCTTTACACGGAACAGACTTCTCGCCCGTCTAGCTTACTCAAATTGAATGAGGCTGCAAGATCAACTTCTTGATCTTCCTACATGTCCCGTCCATTGCTCCTTGAATCACCAACTTCGTGAATAGTGACTTTCTTAGTTGCTGGTCAGTGCTTTCAGCACCGAACTTGGTCAATTTGCAAAACAGCGCCTAAAGCTCTCGCCCGTACTCGTCCAATCGACGAAAGAGAGCCGGATAACTCTACGGAATTCGCAATTTGGACAACGTTGTGATTTCAATACCTAACATCTCTACGCATTCCATCCTTCGACATGAGTGGTTATTCTTTCCTGTTTCATCTGTGGAGCGGCAGGGCGTACCGAGATTGGGCACGATCTCGGCGCTGACATTGGCCGACCGAGCACAACGGGCTCTGTGCTCCAACTCCCCCCCTCTGGAATGTACAACGTGGTCCCAATTAAATGGGACACACCGCAACTTCAAACACCCAGCTAGGCCCCCAACTCAACCACAAGCTAAGCCTCCAGCTCACATGTGAGATTTCAGCCTCAATGCGCCATCCCTAACGCCCTGTCGCCCTTCCAATAGACTCCAAAGACGACCTACGTATCTATACTCCGAGGAGGGGACATTTGAAGGCACACTCAGAGACGCCCATAATGCCCTCCATCCTCGCCACGGCGATCCAGTCTTCGTTACTCAAGGGCACCGCAAACTTCACGGCGCAAATCGTCAACCAGCACAGGCAGGCCGGCGGCAGCGCCGGGGCCCCGCTCGACGTCCGTCGCGTCCTCGAGTTCGCGACTTTTGGCTTCATTCAAGGCCACATCAACTACTGGTGGCAGCACTTTCTCGAAGACCAGTTTCCCAACTCAGCGTCATCGGCCCGCGGCAGGGGAAGGAAGGCGTCCATCGTTGAGCCCAAGATCGAGAAGCCCGAGAAACCCGAGAGGCCGGCGCCCAAGAACTACTTCAATGTCGCCCGCAAGGTCCTCGTCGACCAGACCGTCGGCCTGTTCATGATGAACTCGGCCTTTCTTCTTATCACGTCGGCCCTGCGCTTTGGATTCTCTCCGATCGTCTACCAGATCTGGAGCGAGAGGATATTCGATCTCATCAAGGCAGCATGGAAGTTCTGGCCTCTGGTAGCTATGCTCAATTTCGCACTCGTGCCCGTGGGGTATCGAGCGCTGGTGGGCATGTGTGTTGGATTTATATGGAATATGTTTCTGACGTTTTTTCTTTTGTAACTTGCATGCCGGAGAGCCTTTCATTCTTTCTCTTTGTGCACATCATGGGTTGCATCAAAAAGCATGGAGTTTTTGATCGGGTTCGAAATGGTTGATCCATGTATTCTTGCCTGCCACCTGGCTAGTCTTGGGGAGAAGACGGGCCGCACGGAGTAATTCTCGTCATAATCAATTGGCTGCTCACAGCTCATCATGAACAGCTTGCTCAGCCGCCTTTCCGGCTGAAGACTTTTCATCTCCTGTCTTACTCTTAGGTCCGAGTATGGTGAAAATGACCCGGCGATAGGAAATCAGTGTACCGTCAGAGACCTCAAGGATGAGGTGCATATGCTTGTCGTCATTCGGGTGACGATTTCTGCCTGGGGCACGGAGAACCTCCTCTGAAGGCATTGTGACTGTGATAATGGCAGCGTCGGTATCACTCAGCTCCAGTCTGCCGACGTCTCGTCCCGGATTATTGTTGTTTGATGATGGCTCCAAGTACTGCCACCACTTGTACGTCAACTCTCCTCCGTCTGGGTCGCAAGACTCTCGTGCATCGAGCCCGATGACGTCCTCCTCCTTGACGATCATTTTCACGACCTTGCAAGACGTGTCTCCATTCAACACCACGACTGGGGCATGCTGAGCATCACCGAATTCAGGACTGGCGGACCACTTGATACGGGCAGCAAAGTCGTTCTGAAACGCCTCCCTCCATCTCCACACGGTCGCCTGCGAACTCATGATCGTCCTTCCCGAAGCCCCTTTCAGGACGTCCACCGTATCCGCGTAATGACCCTCACCGTAGGTGACGGGTCCATATCGGCCGCCCCAAGATCCCCATTCCGGATATTCGGGGTCGGAGAGCCCGTTAGGGATCAAGTAGAGAAGCGAAGGTGTATCACCCTCGACAATGAAATCAGCGTCAGGATACTTCGCCCCCAACGGTCCGACACTCTGGATAATCTGCCTGATCCAATCTGCCGATATGACCTCCTGGTTCGAGAGGCTCGGAAAGTTGTAGTACTCCTCGCCCGAGATGCCGCCCCACGCGGCAACGGCGTACCGGTTGAAGTGATGGACACTGGCAATGTAAAAGAGTTGCGGCCAGTTTCGACGGATCCACGAGCCGGTATTGTCCTGATCGGAAATCGTATAGACGCGGAGTTTGGAGACGAAGGTTTCGATCTCGGATTGCGATCTCGTCGCATTGACATGCCACAACGCCTGCGCCAAGACCGACGCCCCTCCCCATACCGGGACCCAGAGCGGCTCGTCCGAGGCGTCAACTGCCTTGACAAGCATGTCGGAGCCCTCGCTGTCCATCCCTTCGCCGACGCCGTCCATGCCGTAGACCGGCAAGCCGGAAGCAATTAGGCCTTTGAGATAGGATGCTTCAGGCCAGCCGGTAGCATGTTTCTTTAGGTTTGGCAGTGCTCCGCCGTACGCGTCGACAATATCATGTATTTGGTCTGGGCGGGTGGTGTCATTTAGCCAGACACTCGTCGTCGCCACCATACCTTCAATCTGCAGCTCATTGGCGTAGACCAGAAGTCGCACGAGCGATTGAGCATCATCGGGCTCGTTGGCGATATCGCTCAAGAGAAAAACGCGGGGCTTTTCAGGGGTTGAGGGTGTGCATTGCGACGCGAGAGATGGTATGATGCAAGAAAAGAGCAAGGCAGCTCCTGCAAGACGAGATGAACAATGCATTGTGAGGCAATACTTACAAGAACAAAGCTCGGAAAAAATGAATAACTTCAAGATACTGACCTAGTTAGCTTTCTGTGAGGGGAAGTATTTGTGGTGCTTCGCATGCTTGAAACTGGCAACTGCTGCGACGCTTCCGATTGCCTTGTTAGGAATGAACAAAAATGGGTCAAAAGTCACTGCCAACCTGAACACTGCACCAGTCGAGCACTTTCGGACTTCTATCCGGGTGCCGAACACTAAGAACGGTTTGAGTGCATGAGGTATTCCTGAAGACCAGAGAAGTCTAAGTAGAAAACAAGTCAATCAAAACATCACCGCGACAGCCACTGGTGCTTAGCTTGTTCGCAGGAAAACTCGTTGCATAGACATGCAACTCTAAATCATCGTTTGGCGTTTCCATGATTCTGCCCGGTAAGACCGCCTTCCCCCTACAGGTTTTTCTCGACTCTTCCGTATTTCATACAAAAAGTTTCCATCACCTCAATCCATGAGAGAAATTGTTGGAGAGATTACTAGGCACTTTACGGAAGACCTTCTACTGCGGCATATCCTTCACAGCAGATTTCCATGCTGAGCGGCTCGATACACGCTTCCACAAGTCTTCAACATTTGGCCTCCCAGCAACTTCCTCGTACAAGCCGAGTAACTTGATGTAAGGCATCCAGGTGAAGACATAGACGTCAGCAAGGCTGGACTCCTATTTGAAGGTTAGAAGAGGCTTCCCACCTGCCAATGTAGTCTGAATAGCAAGAGGTGCTGTTGATCTTACATTTCCAGCTAGGTAAGCGCTGGAGCCCAGGAAGTTTTCGTAATAATCAAGTGCAGTTTTGAACATTGCAGTTGCCTTTTCTTCCTCAAGAGGGTTGGCGGGCTCAGCCGGGCTAAGGTAGGTTGCATTGTCAGTATAGCGTCTCTATCCAAGAGTCAAGCAGTTTGGCCTTACTTCTTCCATAGCTTCTCGTTGCACAATGTCTTGACGGACGGGTCGAAGTAAGAATTTCGAGCAGTCAATACTGAGAGCCTTCTCAAATTTCCCAATCTTGACTGGGTCATCGCTCACGACGGCATCAAGAGAGCTAGAGGGGCCGCCGTACTTGGTGACGAGGTAGCGGCAAATGGCTCGGAATTTGAAAAGTTGAAGATCTCCATCATGGATAACGGGAATGCGGCCAAAGGGGTGCTGTTCCTCGATGTACGCGGGATCCTGATACGGGTGTCAGAGTCTCATGCATAAAGATGTGTGGATAAACATTTAGCAGGCCACAGCTGCGAACCCTTTGTTCTCCCCTCATGAGGTTAACTTGAGTCAAGTTGTACTTGAGCCCAAGTTCATTGAGAGTGATCAGCACTCTGTGAGTACAGGCAGAAGTCACGGAGCCCCAAAGTTTGATCGACATTGTGAGGTGCTATGCGTTGGATTTGACAAAGCTTCAGTTGAAGAGAGGGTCAAAGAATCTTTTGTTTATGGGGTAAAGAACTGTGAAGAATGGATTACTGCTTGATAAAGAGACGCAATATTCAAAACATGGCGACTTGATGTTTTCTATTTCACCACCAGACAGAAGCCATGCAGAATGCAGCTCGGATAATGGCACGAGTCCACGAAAGCCTGGGCACTTATCGTAAGCGCTGAAACGTCACTCTGCTTCGTCATCAAGTGTGGTCGCTTCCAGACCACGTTCTCAGCGGCCATGACCTCTGCTAGGGCTTAATAATTCATTCATATCATTGGCAGACGGGTAGTATCACGATTTGCGACTCTTCAGAGACGCAGCAGCTCACTGAAGTTGTGATCTGATTGGGGAGGTGCGACTATTCGGAGGAACTTGCAAGTTGGTGTCCGTGACTGACCGGCTACACGCTCATAGCTTTATAAGCCCCTTTCAGCAAGATATCATCCAAATCCATGCGCATTTGCTCAGTTTTGATTGCTAAGCACTCAGGTTTCGGATTTGTTCGGTGGTTATTGGAGCGTAGTATGCCGATAGCGATCATCGTTGGCTTTCACCGCAGGGCGGACTCCGGAAAACAACACGTTGGATAGGCCGAAGTGTAGGCTGTGGCAATTGAACAAACGTACCTGTAAGGACGTATTATACTTCCCACCTTGATGTATCACCTGGAAACCTCGAAGACCAGACGTACCAATGATGCGAAATCGTCGCTCGGTGGGAAGCTTTAAGAATCCGTGATCTAAAAAGCACAGCGGCTCAGTGACTTGATCCACGGTTGCTATAGAATAGTCCGAGCTTGCACACTTCACCAGGTTAACTTTTACCATTTGAACGCTAACACATTGCCTATAAGGCTTTATTTGAAGACCCTAAGCGCACCTTAGAGGATAGGTATGTTCATAGAAATAGGAATTCTACGTGCTAAGAATCTGTCTAAGAAAGCTGGGAGATCTAAATTTAGCCCATACAGTCACGTGTCTTTTGCCAACACCTCGGAATGGACTAGGCCGAGGAGATGTGGCTGAGAAAGCCTTAGGTAATATCCTGCTGACACAACAGAACCCTTGAACAGACCTCTCGGCTTAGACCCGCTTCGGCCCTCCCCCAATCGAAGCCAATAACGGGGAAAGGGGGTCACGACTCGCCAAGAGATTCGCTCGGTTGATTCCGAATCATCACCACCGTAGTCCACAATCAAGGGACTCCATGCCAACGACGCCCGCGAAAATAGCCGCTGTATTCTAGTCAGAACCCAAGTTGATGGAAGTCCCAATTTTCCTATTAGAGTTTTGGAGTGCTCATCAAACTCTAAGAGGGTGTCTGGAGGAGTAGTACCCTGAATTCTCTCGGCTTTAGCCGGAATGACATCGAAAGTGAGTACTTTAACAGCCCCTATCCCACCTGGTTGCTGACGGGAAAATGCTTGCCGTCCGCTACTTCCGGCCTACGAGATACCGAAAATGCTTGTACGGGCATTTCAATCTTCGGGACCAGGGCGACAAGGCTCTTGCAGGCGATTTGCAGAGCCGTCGTAGGATCGACTCACAAATTCTGAACCCAGATAGATCTTTAATCGAGGCCGATAGAAACAGAGTCAGGTAATCAAGAGGGAACTTCACACGGCCGTTTGGAACAGAACTTACTGGCACTTTGACTCTGTTGCAGCGTAAGTCGGCTTCGTCAGACGAGAAAGAACCTCTAGTGAGAGATGCTTACTCTTGGCTTAGGTTCACAATTAAGGTCAAACAATACTTTGATGCATTATCTATTACGCCATGCGTTTGCAGTTTCGAACCAATGATGCAACAAAATCGTCCAAAACAAGTTTCCCAGTAGATCCCCACCCAAACTCCAGTCTGATGCGAATTTTGTGTCCTCTAAACCCCGGCCCAAATCATTAGACATTACGAATATATGCTCCTCAATCGCGCTGTATGGTGACGGTTTTGGTCTGTAGAATAGCCTTGTCGCTCATGTCGTCGGCGCTCTCCCTCCCGCCGGCGACTACTACGGACGAGAAGCCGGGGTCTTCTTCGTTCGTCCTCTTCCGATCGGAGTGGAAAGTATGCATTTCGTTCTCGTCCGGAAACTGTTCGTATTGTTTTCTTTGACGGCTTTTCATGGCATTCGTTGATCTTTGATGCGCGTATGACATTCGGTAACCGCCGACTGCGTAAGATGATGGATTCGTCGAGGAGCCCATAAGCTTTGGCGCGAAATGCTTGAAGAACTTTCGTAGGGTGGGCATCGAACCGCAAATCACAAAGAGGTTGGCTTCAACGAAACTGTTCAACGGAAGGGTTACGACAATGAAGAGACAAAGGAAGCAATTTCAAGAGCACCTACGTCCAAATATTCGCAGGGGCAGCATCCCATGACGGATCGACGCTGACGAGCAGTGGGGGTAGGTAGGTCAATCTAACGATGGAAGTAGCCACGGTCCTTCCCATGAAGTCAGTGGGAGATGCTTGAGCTTTGAGAGATAGGGTATCCTACATTGATCCAATGGCAAAAATGATAACGGCGCCGATCTTCGATGCCATCTTCATGCGGAGGCTGAAGATCATGGGCATCGGAAGAATGAACAGCATGACATCGGTGATGATGTTAGAGACAGCCGTAGCCATGTAAAGAATGCCAACGTCGAGGCACTTTCCGCCGGTGATGGTGAAATCGAAAGCTTTCCTGACGGGATTGCAGTGGAACAGCATCAGGATAGTGATGCATGCTGTATACAGCGAGACCACGGCTATACCCGTCCATACTGCCACTCTAAACCACTTCTGGGGTGAAAGGTGAAGGTAAAATGTCAAAAGAGACAATTTGGTAAAGCCATTGCACAGCATGAAGACAGGTGCTGTTACATAGGTCGTCTTTACTATGTCAGCGTCATATGGTAATTGAGAGCTTTTGCGATATACCCACGATAGAGTAGCGCACAAATCTTGACATTGGCATCTCCCAAGCGTGGGCGCACATGCCACCTTCAGCAATAGAAGCTGCAGCACTCTGGTCAGCTTCAAGTGACCTGCAGCATGCAAGGTGGATTAGACATACCAACAAGCATTGCTTGAGTGACTACTGAGGCACCCTGAGTGAAGGAAGGTTAGGCAATGATCTGGTAGCCAAGGAGCTGAACAGCGATCAGTGGATCGTCGAGTCGAACTTACCCATCCCAGAAACATGAAAGCTTTCGATAGTCAGTATTTGGCGAAATGCTAGGTCGATCAAAGGTAAATAAACTCACCATCGTCAACTTGCAGCCCTTTGGAAAGGAACAGTTTGGTGTAAAATCTCTGGCACAGGGCGATGAAGGCAATTGTACCACCAACGCCAAAGAGCAGGTAATGTTCCAGCACCTTTTGCTGCCTCGGGTGGTCAAAATCGACCGTGACGCCCGGCGGGGCTGGGATCACAGAGACTTCCGACATGATGCCAATAGAATGGTTCAGATTCGCAAGCAACCGAAATCTTGGATTTATTGGGAAAAAAAAGCAGCATCTGATCTAGCGTATATACATGTTATCGTACTGAGCTCTGACGGAATTCACTCGCCATCCTCCGTGGCCACATTCGGGTGTACCGAGGGTGTGAAGGACCAGGGTTGAACGTAGAAAATTCGGGCCTCCCCCTTCGATGAAATTGGATGCTTCAAGCACTTTATCCCACATTTTCTCTTTTTGACGGGATGAACTCTGGACGATGCCGAGGAGGGAGCATGGATCACTCCAGGTCCTCTTGAGAACTCCTGGAGTCTCGATAAGTGTGATCTGGCGCGACTCGTGTAATTGGTATCCATCTCAACGGTCATATACTTATGAGGTCTATGCTTCAACACCAGGATAGGCTTTCTTTCTTGTAGTGCACTCGCTTTCTTGTTAAAAGTATACTCGCCGTGCTCACTGCTCGAGATCTTGACCTGGTTGTTGCGCAACCGAGTAGCTTCTCATTCGTGGGATCGCTGCCCTTCCAACATTAATAAGAGGCACAGTGTTTGCTAGACGATCCACGCCCCGATCGAGAAGTCTGGTCCGAACTCATAATAAGGTTCCGTTGTTGGAGAGTGTTGGAAGTTGTCTTTATGGACTGGGGTTCCTGGTTCAGCCCCGGTAGTTGGACTGGTGCGGAAGAGGAGAATGACCAGTCACAAAGCGGGCCGCCGAAACTGGGGTCGACAAGGAGTCGGGACAGCCCTGACAAAAGGACCGATGGCTTCAATCTCCAAGATAGAGGGACGTCATGCCAATTGGGTCCCAGCTACCAGTTACCCTCGCTCTCGCAGCCCCCCACCATTGTGCTTGGGATCAGGGGTGTTGAAGACTCAAGAGATTTGCAGAGTAGTCCGCGGCCGAACCTTCAGATCCTCCGCCCTTTCCGTCAGATCTTGGTCAAAGCTGATAGAACAAGACAGCGACCCCAACACACGTAACTGAATGGAACCCAGGGTGCAGCGCAGGAAGAACCCACTCTTTGCTGATGCACTTTTAGAATTCTGGAGGGGTATCCATGCAAAGGCGGAATGGATTAGAAGGACTTCCGTCGTACGGGCGAGATTTCCTCCTTTTCTAGAATGGGGAGTCGTAGAGCAGAGCTTCTGCTTCCTCGGAGGCGATCGTTATAATATGCTTTGCTTGCCCATTTTTGGCCTATAAAAACCACCAGCGGTTCCCGCGTTTGCCATGGATAGGGCAAGTAAGTCTGCCCAAGCTTCACCAGCATGACTCGCCTCCCACAATTTGAAAAGGAAGAATAAGGAGGCGGCTGTTCAAAGATTCGGAGATGAGCTTGTCGGGCTTGATATCGCCGCAGAGGATTATCCTTCATCGACCAACAGCATGTTCGAGATCGTTCAGGAACCGAGGCCCACAAGATGCAACTCTGGCTCTTGGCAAAGCAAACAATGTTTGTGGGAATCTTTCGTAAAAATCAGGATATTCCGCGGCAGAGCGGCAGAGCAGCATACCATTGTTTGCTTCAATAAAAGTGGTTTCGTGGTCGATAGCGGGAAGCGAGTGTTGGCGTCAATCGACTTAGTATCCAACGGGGAGGCGGGCACGAGATAGGATCGAGCCAAGTTCACCAGCGTTGTATTGCTTACAGCCCTATTCCCTGTTCCCCAAGACAAGGAAGCCCATACTGTCAAGTCGGAACGTCTGAATTTTGTCAGCAATTACTGCCTAGCAGCTCTTGGTTCCGAAACCTCGAGGAAATCATCCCGGAAAACGTCGCACTGCATGTTGGACATGTTGTAGAAATGGGGGCGGGATAACGCTTTGCAGGTCAGCTCTCCGCCCCCAAGACACATTCATGACAAAAAATACCACGAGAATGAAGTTGTTGGCTCTAGACCTTTCGCCTGATTGCGTTCTTACGGCTAATGTAACCTGGTTCCAAAACATCTTGCCATGACTTCATGGGATGCTGACCGATTGCAGAGGCAATACACAACCCAAACAGGATTGAAGCTCCGGGAGGGCAGCAAACATGATCCTTTGGCCCCATCAACAAGCTAAAAATTACTCCTCTTTTCTTTGCAACTTCCCACTTGACCTACTGGATTCGTGCGGGTATTCATCGGTCCCTGCGTGAAGTGCGGCTTGCGGGATTGAAAATGCCCGCTAGTTGCATTAGATCAAATTACATCGACTCATGCTGGTCCTCCAACGAGGACACTAGCTCGCGGTGGAGGCGAGGTCGGTCTGAACTTAAAACTGCGGACTCGGAAGGCACTGGAGATTTGATCGCTCATTCTGAATGCAACGGCAATAGATATTCGCTAGAACACCTCGAGAGTTTCTAGTCCTTCTCTTCCTCTCACCTGGTCTTGCTGCCGTCCAGTCAACAACCCCGATCCTCCCATCAGATCACCCCCACGCAACGACCACGGGAGCTCGTGCGCAGACACACACACACACACACACACACACACACACACAGAGCCGAACAAACTCTGATAATCATGAGATTCTCAACGGGTTTGTCGATCTTGGCCTTGGCTGCCTCGACTGTCTCAGCAAGGGGTCGCAGTCCTCACTGCGTGTGTGTACGTTACCATCCCATTTCCCCTCTCATCCACTCCTACTGGCGATCATTTCTAACTTTGGCCACATACAGTGCTCTGCCCTTGCCCAAGATCAAGACCTTCAAGGCAAGGTCTACTCTAAGGACAACTCATTCTACGATGCGCGGTTAGAGACATACTACTCTGCCAATGCTGCTCAAGCCCCATGGTGTATGGTGTTGCCTGAGAGCACCTCAGATGTGACAAAGATTGCAAAGATCTTGAACAGGAACCAATGTCCCTTTGGCATCCGGAGTGGCGCCCACTCAGCCTTCACAGGATCTAATGGTGTCAAGAAGGGTGTCACCATTGACTTTGGTAAGCACTTAACCTAACAATTTTAACATGAGACGTACCATGTGTTGACAGACGCTCTCTTCCAGGTTACATGAACACCACGACATACGATGAAGGGACAAAGATTGCTTCGATCCAGCCCGGCTCAGACTGGGAAAGGGTCTTCTCTACCCTTGACCCCTATGGTGTTGCTGCTGTTGGTGGTAGAGCGTCAGTTGTCGGTGTTGGTGGTTTCATAACGGGTGGTGGCGTAAGTGAACCCAACTTGGCGTCTTATAGACTGTCGCTGTCTTGAATGTCTCAACATTTACTGATACTGGAGATCTTAGTACTCCTTCCACACCAACTCTCATGGCTTTGCTTGTGACTCGGTCACCAACTTCGAGGTTGTCCTTGGGGATGGTTCAGTTGTGAACGCCAATGCGAACGAGAACGCGGATCTCTGGAAGGCCCTCAAGGGAGGCTCAGGAAATTTTGGCTTCGTCACTAGAATCGATGCTCGTAAGTTGTTCATGCCGTTGCATGACAATCTTCACTGACACATCCCCTGCAGGCACTGTCGACTCTACACAGATGTCAGGTGGCTTCGTGAGCTACAATCTCACAGAGAGAGACAACGTCTTCAACGCCTACCTGAACTTCGCCAATAACATGGACAATGACCCCTACAGCCAGAATATTGTTGCACTGTACTACGACAAGACCGGCTTCAGCTTGAGGTCTATCCTGACCAACGTCCAGGCCAACATGGACGCGCCTGCTTTCGACGACTACTATGCGATCCCCAACATCTCCAGCACCGTCCGCGTTGGTACTGTTGCCGAGCTCGTCCCTGAATTCACTGGCCCCACTCCCTTGGGCCTGTAGTAAGTTCTTCTTCCTAGCAAGACACATGAGGCAGTGCTAACACTATGTAACAGCGCAAACTGGATGGTTGGCCAGACCACCAACGACTTTCGTATCATGGACTTCATCGATACTAAGCTGAAGGAATACTCAGCCAAGATGAAGGAAGCCGCGCCCGAGTCCGACTTCAACGTCCTTGTCCAGTTCCAGCCTGTTACCCAATCCATCGTCAAGCATGGCCTCGATAATGGCGGAAACTCACTCGGCCTGGAGAGCGTTGTTGCCGATGGTCCTACTATCATGTGGCTCATTGCTTTAACTGTCGATACCCCTGCAAACCAGAAGTTGATCCTCCCTTTTGCTCTGGAGTTCCGTGCCGCCATCAACGAGTACGCTAAGGAGATCAAGGCGTACAAGGAATGGAAGTACCTCAACTACGCATGGAAGGACCAAGACCCGCTTTCGACCCACGGCGAAGAGACCATCGATTTCCTCAAGTCCGTCTCAGAGGAGTACGACCCCGAGCACGTCTTCCAGAACCTTCGCAAGACCGGCTTCAAGCTTCCGGCCTAAGAGCCTTTTCGACCTTGGAACTCTGAAGATTGATTTCCACGAGGGCAATAGAAAACATTTCGCGTAAACTACAGCACGTACAGGTCTCGAAGAGCTGCAAATATGGACATGATATTGGATCTTTAATCCTATTCTACTATTCGTTGTAACTAATTGGCAATCATATCAATATCCTGTATCAATACCCTGTATTCAGACGAGTATCTTCGTATCTTGGTACATAACTATACCTTCTCTTTTGTATTATACACTACAGCCCTATATTTTAGACAGTTTGATACGACCTGCCTATATCGTCTTTATATCCACATAAGATCACGTCATATCGATGACTCTTTTCATCGGATCGTCGTTCAACGTAGGCTTATGATTCCAATGTCTCAGTTCCTTTGTTGACTTTAGCTATGCTGTTGTTTCAAACCAAGGGAGTGAAATATCTGGCCAAGCTCGCCAGCTATTTGAGTTGCAATAGCCCAAAACTTGATATGCATTCAAGAGTCGCGTCTGCTACGTGAGCTCGTCCAAGAATTGCCAAATACTAGAGGGAAATGCCTCCTCGTAGTTCGCAGCTTCAGGGATAATCATCTCTTGCCACTCGACAGGAAAGGTCTCGCCTAGTAGGTCGTGAGAGACGAAGTCATATAGCGGTTGTTGTAATGTTGCGTCATCTGAATCCTGCTCAACACCTGGGCCGGCTTGTGCAGCGTGGTTCCTCGACAGCGTCTCCTCAGCCATGAAATGGCTTTCCGGCTCATCATTTCTTAGAGGCGCAGGGTCTGGGGAGGAGGATTGGCTCAGCATTTTCTGGACGAGCACTCGTACCACGTCATAAGCAAAGCCTGCCATGGCGTTCCGCGACCTCATCGCATCTAGTCTTGCCAAACCCCACTCCAAGCGGTTAACCGATTCTGCCAGGAGATGTTGATTATCATTCGGCGCTCGAATGTATGCCGCTGCCACCAGAACCATCGCATCGAATGTAGAGAAGACAAGAGCGAAGCCCCTGTAGAGCAGAGCTCCCGCGTGTTCGAACAGCCTGCTTTGGGACGCAAGCATCTTTAGTGCGGCCAGGTGGGCCTCTGCTCGACTTGTGGACAGGGTCCATACGAAAGGGCGATGCAGTGCGAGCAGGACAAAATAAACCTCCGTCATGAGTGTCTCACGAGCAGCAGGGAGCCAAGGGTATCTGCCGTCGAGTACCGGACTTGCGACGGTTGCCCATGCCGGAAGTTTGGAAATGTTGCTTATTACGGCGTTGTGTATTTTCTGAATGGCCTCCTGCGCATCCTTATTCTCAACCTCTAGGTCGTGAATATCCTGCAAATACTTGTAAGCAGTATGATAGCCGCACACCATGAACTCGAATGGGGATATGGCTACGTCGTCCAAGCCTATTGGGGGCGATGCTGGTGTAAGGCTCGTCGAAGGCACGCAGCTTGCGTCCAGTTTGGTCGCCATGGGCCGGCCGAGGACTATAGCCATATGCGCGTCCCAAAGATGCAACACAAACCACAATTTCCTCTCCAGTGGGAACACCGGCGTCTGCATGACGTGTTCGGCAGGCCGACTTGGGTTCCAAGCCCTACGTCTGTGCAAGCCAAGTTCTTGAGCGTCTCGGATCGTTCTTCCAAGTGTGTGCCATGCTTCAATGACTGAACCTATGCTCTTCTCAAAAAATGCCTCCATCAGTCCAGCTTGAATTTTGTTCAGAGAGATGTCTTTGCTTCCTAGCATGGACATGATTTGGTGGCCCACGTTGCTATAATCCGCGGCCAAGTCGGCAAAGTCGACATCGGGTGCGTATTTAAGACCCTGCAGTGCTTCATCGTTTTCATCAGGATGGAACTGTAATGCGAGTGCGAGGACCTGAAGAAGTAACGCAGGGAAAGCCCGGATGCTGACAGACAAGTTCTCGGGGCCCATATTCAACGTCGTGGAGGAGATGTGACTCCAGCTTGATAGCTCAATCCGGAACGTAGAATGATCGATAACATCATATTGCCATGCAACATTGGTGAAGAACGACTCCACAAGGATATTGACGTGTTCCCTTTGTGGTATCTTCCTTATGAGATTCATGTAGTGAACTGCCGCATCATGGTTCTGTAGCCTCTCGCGGGAGGCTGAGTCATGGCCCAATGCCCCGAGTTGGGAAACAATATCAAGGGTACCTTTGGCATTGCCAGAGTAACCCATTCGTGTTGATAGCTCATGAACAGTGACGGAAGTCTCCTCTTGACCAGGCGTGTTGTCGGACGACGACTGGAATGGGCTTGGTGGTAGATCTTGGGCTGTTCTCGATTGAGTTGCCAATTTGTCAGCACCCACGTATTTTTGCTCGGTGTACTCATACAGGCAAAGTCCCTGAGTTTTATCAGTTTAGTTCGATACACTCGTTGGGGGAAGGGTCATACAGGTTTGCCTCGTCGAGAGCAGTGAAAACATGGGTGCTGTCGATCGCACTGGTGCCAGTTAGATCAAGGTAAGCTATCTGATAACCGAAAAGCTCACTTTCTGTTTGCGTCTATGGCATTCCGAACATGAAATCACCAGACGCTTCTGCCTGTGCGATGGGTGGGCGGTGGAAGTATTGAGTCGCCAAGCAGACATCATGAAAAGCCTAGCCCGGCATATGGAGAGAGTTGAGGGGTCGATCGACACGTTACTCGCGCTGAGGGGATGGAGATGACCACCGATCTATGTTTACATAATCGCACATGCACAGGCCACTCGGACAAACGTGTAGCCAGCTCTCCCTTCCGGCCGGTATCAGACGGCGACCGGCTCGGACAGCATGTCGGCAGCTATGCCCGGACAGAAGGGCTTGCCATTGGCTGATCGGCTGCTTTTGGATTCGAAGTGTCGTACTTCACTAGTGAAAACATACAACATTGACCACTTAGGTATGATTCCTACTCTGATTTCCAGCTTCTGGTTGGATCTGGGCAGAGGTCTTACGTAGCTGATTGCCATTTCCTATGGATTAAGTACATGTATCTGTGTCTTATCAGTTCAGCTGAGGTCTCCTGCCTTGTGGGACGTGTCCATTTAGCCATAATCTTTTGCTTGCTTCCAAACTTTTCCTGAGTTGCGACTTGACTCTATTGTATGGTAGGATCTCGGTCTGTTTCGTGATTGGAATTATACGCGGATGATAGACGTACGAGCGCATCAAAGCCTCACCCGGGTCAACAGCGAATATCAATGCCAATACAGTGCTAGTGAAGGCCCCAAAGCCATTGAATAGATGCTTCGGAGTGGAACATAGAAAGAGACGTTATTCAACAGCGACATGGAGGATCTGCCTGTTGCATCGACAGTGCTTGCCAAAATTGAGATGAATTGGTTCTATTGACAAGTTCGAGAGGTCTTTGATTTACACCTTTGCCTGTCCAAACCAAGCCGCAATCTCACGAACGTTCCTATCTACAACATCTGGCTGCTCGTAATGCTGGAAATGCGAGATTTCATTGTCCCAAATAAGTTTCTTCTCCTTCGTCGGGATCGACTCATAGTGCCTCTTTGCAGCAGCAGCATTCATGCAATTATCGCCATGAATCACCAAAACGGGCTTAGTGAGCTTGGCCACACCAGCGACTGTGGAATAGCCGAAATGGTCCAAATCGCTCATGACCGCATACCGGTTCTCGAAACCCTTCATCGTCCAGGGGCCATACCACGACCATGTGACCGGTCCTGGAAGCCCGGCAAGGGAGCCAACATCCGGGTCTGCAGCTTTCGGATCGACAAGAGGTTGGTAGATGACTTCCCCTGTCTTTTCATACAGGGCCTTGGCGTCTCTGGCTCGCTGGATGCGCGCCTGATAGAGGGCTTCTCCTTGCTCAGGTGTAGGCATCTTCAAAGATCCTACGTCAACACCAGGCTCGACATTGACACATCCGGAGCAGATCATCCAGATATCCGTTTCGCGGTCGCGGTAGTATCCTGTCACGGAAGCAACAGCGACAACGCGGTCGTCGTAGGACGCCACATCAAGACACTCGGGGCCTCCCTGACAGACGCCTACGAGAAATAGTCTCTTGGCATCCACGTCGCCCCTGCTGGCGAGATAGTCCAGACCGGAGACCACGTCTTCGTTCTTCATCACAGGGTTTTCCAAGCGACGTGGCTGGCCGGTGCTCTCTCCGACAGTGCGTGGGTCGAATATCAAGGCCGCGTAGCCTTCGTCAGCCAGTCGCGTGGCATACTGCAACGGAGCTTGCTCTTTGATGAATGAATAGGGACCTAGGACCACGATGCCAGGCGGGTTGATGATGTCCTTGGGCTTGTAGAGGATACCAGTGATAGTCTCCCCATGAGACGGGTAGGTAACCTTCTCAGTGGTGTAGCGACCGTGGAGACCCATTTTAAAGTTGATGAATTGGTGAGATGGAGTAGCTGAATGGTAGAGTAGTGAAATGATGTGTAGATGCTTATGATACTGCAATAGACAATATCTTTCCAGTAGTAAGTCTTTTAGTCTTTATATGCGTATCATAGAGCTTCAGGACTTACATTCATGTTGCCTTACATGCCCTGATTCCGTGTTTTCGGCGATGAGGCCCACTATTCTCGGTGTAGGTATCCACTATTTTCGGCGATGGCTGATGAAAATCACCGACAGCCAAACCTTGCTTGGCCGCATCCTGTGAGCTGATTGACGCTATGGAGATACAGCAAGTCTATCTCCGAATGATTAGATCCAGACGAACTGCACGGGAACGTTCAGCACAACCTGGCGCATCTGCTGTGAAAGGCAAAGCCCAGCTCTCGAGGAGGCTGTGACAATTCCCATCGAGCCAAGGCAAATGACGTTATTTGATGTAGGGCGGTACCAACTCCTCTAGATTGACGATTCGATTACGAGTAAGGGCGTCTCTGCGCCATCTCGACAATCCTAAGGTAAGTAGCCTAGCAAGAGCAGGGTAAGTGTTTTGATTGGTGACCAGCGAAAACCCGATGTTATACGTTTTTGATCATTTACTGGGCTGATGGTGTCCATGACTGTCTGTAGACAGGAACAGGCGATAGCCCAGAACTCTCTTTACTAGTACGCTTCTGGAAATTGATGCAAGCGACACTATGAAGACCGTAGATGAGACTGACATAATGGGTAACCGACGTTTCTGCCAGAACTACGATTAAGAAACATAGTGTGCACGCCTCGCTGGCTTCGCGGCGTTTGCGCTTTGCTCAATCTTCAGATAGCAACGCCTGCGATTATCAACCACCAACCCCACCGCCGATTACCCGACCGCCGTAGTAAGGCACGAATACACCCCCACGGTAGCCTCCACCAACACCTCCAACTCGACACGCACGTTTCCCAAAGCCATCAGATTCGAATTCTTGTAGTGGGATATCGGCCGGGAACAATTCGTGCCGCTTTTCGAAAGCGTCGGTGCTGTCGTATACTTGTGCGTCCTTTAGGTCGACTTTTGAGCCGATGGCGTGTTCTTCTTCGCTATTGAACATGTAGTACGTTCCGGGTGTCGCTTGGCCGTTGCAGTTGGCTTCCGCTACTACTTTCTCTTGTACGTCGGCACAGTAAACCTTGCCAGCGTTGGTACCTTGGACAAATAGAAAAGCTGCCGCTGCAGCTCGCAGGCCGCTGAGATCTGTATGGTGTTTCATAATAGTCGGAATTGAACGTGTGCCGAAGACTGGACTTAGGACTGACGGGACTCGTCACGGGCGTGTGGAATTGCTTGACTGCGCGCTGCTCTTATTATAATTCGCCATCACGCTGCTCACAGCTGTACTCCGTACACTCGTAACAATGAGACGTGTGCAGACCGACACAGCGCTGTTCGTATTCAGCGATGTAATCTGCGTTGAACAAAGTATAATACAAATTTGACTCAATCATGTGCTCAGCTCAAAGTGAGTTGCAAGAGAAATTCTTTAGACTCAAGTGGTAGCTTTAATTACTCGACAGGATTTAATTTTGAATATGGCACCGAGTCAAGCCTAAAGAGCAATTAAGTAAGGTTCTGTCCGTGCAAAATCACATGTAGGGATAGCGGGGAACAAGTACTGTGGTCGCACTTGACCACTGTGGGATGTCGGTTTACCCGATCCTCTAAGGTAAGGTGTGCTAAAGCCATCAAAGCCTGCCACAAGTACCTGGTTTCATGCATCGACGCTCTTCATTTCCACGACTCAAGAGATCTGGGCAGCTTCAAGCAACGTGACTTTAATCTCCAAATGTCTCTCTTTATCTCCCCGCGATGCCCACAACGGAGTGATCTACCAGGAGGTTAATTATACGAGCTTAGAAACCTTACGTTCAGAGACATCGCTGTGCGTCAGTAGTCCTCCTGGAATAATGGAAGAAAAATAAATACGTTGGCATGTCCTGAGACGCTCAAGTCAAGTCCCACTTGCTTGTCACCCCTCTAAGATCACTCCTTCTGAGACATTTGTTCTCTTACACTCGTTCAAAATGCGATTCTTTTGTTTGCTTCCACTCTTGGCTTCGGCAGCAATTGCTGCTGATCAAGGCAAAGGTTGCGGAACCGTGGACGCTTTAGACTGTTCGGGAAACAATATCGTAAAGTGCTATACGTTTGCGGGGAGAAGCGGACTGACCTGGAACTATGTAAGTTTCTGTTCCGAACACGTCATTCCATTAGAACTATTAGAACTAAATGCAATCAAGGTCGACTCATGCGCGGACAAAGGGCAAGTGTGTAGATCTGGCGCTTGCGACACCATCCCAATCAGTGCCAACCAGGGCAAGGGATGCGATCTGAAAAACGCCTTTGGCTGCTCTGGGAACAACATTGTGCAGTGTTACACTTTCCCTGGTAGAAATGAAATGACCTGGAACTATGTGCGTGATCAGGCCCTGCATCGAATTATTTCAGTTGAGCTGACTAGATTTTCTAGTATCAATCATGTGCGGACAAAGGCCAAATTTGTAGCGGCAATGTCTGTCAAACTTGCTAAATATCTCGTGATTGGGTAATTATTGCTTCAGGATATCAACATATCAGCGATCAACTTGTTATGCAAAGAGTAAACAAATGAACAGAGCAGTGTTCATGATTCAATTCAGTCGACCACCCCCGACCAGGCCATGAACTTCAATGCGCCATTCTTTCTTCACACCATATAGTCCTGTTTCAGATCAAGATTACTCCCTACTCATTGGGCAATGTCCAATGAGGCTACACGTCAGCTGGTGATTCCGTGTTCATGTTTTTTCCCCAATGGAATTGAGTTGGGTATTTCTCTACCTGGCCCTGACTCTCCATATTCTCATATCGACCTTGACCCTCTGGCATCTTGATGTCGTAACGCTTCAAGACTTTTACCAGGACCATCTTGGTCAAGGAGTCGGCTATGAACCTCCCAGGGCAGGCAGCTCGACCGTAACCCCAGGATAGATCCAGTCCACTTACACTCAGGACTTGAAACTTTGACCGGGCTTCGTCCGATTCTTATCTCTTCTTGTAGAATCACAAACCATCAAACTCAAGGGATTATCGTGGAGGTCCGCATTCGCGTTGATGGCGGCAGTGACGACTTCGATTCTTGCACCTTTGGGGATGTGAAACCCATTCGAGAGTGTGACTGGAGCAGTAGCTTTGCGCTGGAAGGTGGCTGTAATGAGAGTAGTCATGAGACTTGTTATTCAATTTGAGTAAACGGCCATGAAAGGAACAAGGACTTACTCAGATCAGGAGAGCAAAACTTTTGTACTTCCTTGACAAAGCTGTCCGTATCCCCCAATTTGGAAGCCGGTCGTCTTTTGAGCACATTTTCATGCTCTTCAATAACCTCTAGCACTTCCTGACGAAGTGCTGGCAGGTACTGTTGGCGACTGGCTAGGTCATACAGACACTGTACGATTGTCGTTGTGGTAGTATGGATTCTTGCAGCGCACAAAGACATCTGGATATCCATATGGAGTCGCAAATTGACCAGGAATCTGCCGTCCTCGGTGACTTATTCATAAACTCTCGACGGGTCAGACAGAGGTTTGAGCCCGCTGGCCTTCTTGTCCTTCATCTGCCTCTGGACCACATCCTTGATGTTGCTGTACTGTTCCATAAGACCCGAGAAACCTGGGAGATATTTGTACAGAACCGGGTGGAGGAGAGAGGGCCATTGCTTTGCACCTACAGCGTAGATGATCTGATTGACGATGAACGTGCTCGCCACGTCGAGAAAGCCTTCCTCTTCGGCAGCATCGTGACCAAGAAAGCCCCGGACACTTGCTTTGGTAACAGGTGGCATGATAGCCGACCACACGTTGACGGATGTCCAGTCTAAAGCAAGGGAGTGAGATGAACACCTCTTTCCAAATGCCACCAACACGACTTATGGAGAACCATACCGCTCCACTTACTGTACTTACTTGTATCGTTAGTTGCAGGCAACAGGCCCGCAACATGATCGCGAACCATGTTCTGGAATATTTCGGCGTACGAGTCTAATGATGTAGGGAGTTCTTAGGACCATGAAGCTAGCCTTTGTGAGGTAATATTCGCACGTAGCGCCGGATTGAACTTTGGAACTTTGCAGAGAACAATTTGAGTGACCAAGCTGGGTGGGCGCCAACTTTGGTGTATCTTTCAAAAGTAAATCGAATATTGCCAGGGTACATGTAGACAAGCAGTAGCCGTGTACGCCAATATCATTGAGAGCGACGCCAAGGTTGAGGTCAGGATTGCTCTTCAATTCTTCCATGAAACGAAGGGGTAAGACGATATTGAATCCTGAAAGAATAGTTGCATGTTAGCACTGAATGGGAGAACTGTCTGAATTGAATACTAAGTATGTATGTGGAAACGAAACCGATCTAATGGGGTGTCAATAGCGAAGATTTCGTTCTTGAGCTAGTAGAGGTCAAATAAACCTCTCGTCTTGTTCGTTCCTCATCTTCAATGAACCACGGTGTAGGGTAAAGGAGCTTGCCGTCATACTTGTATATCTTGAGCACATCATACTCACACCCAATGGACACAATCTCTTGGCCCACTTTACCATCATCCCATTTGGAGACGACAAGGTCACCGTTAACAAAGAAGTCGATGATATCTGACACTAGTTAGACTTGTCCCCCGATGCAGGGCTAGGATTCATAGGCGTGAATTTGGAAGAATCAAATTCACCTCCGCGAGTGTTTGAGTTGACGCAGCGCTCAATAAGAGTGACTTCCCGCGTGGCTCATGCAACCACAAAGTGACATGTTCTGCGCTGAGCAATCATTATCCGGTACATATGATTATCTACAATACTTACGGTGTATCTCTTCTGGTCTGAATGTAGGGCCGATGTGCGAATCGCCGAGATCTGGAGCCAGTCCTTCCCATCCCGGCTAGGCCTTCCACACTCCGAATAAAGGCACTCATCTGCTGTTAAGATGGGATTCGCGCTCAAAGCCCGAGCATTGATGCATTACTGCTTAAATTACTCGGAGCTCGCGGAAACTATTCCCTGCTATGAATGTCAAGTTTGAGCCGTCTACTAAAGCCATGATTACGTCGAGAGTAGAAGATGGGGGGGCAATTCGCACTCAAACCCATAGTTACGAGCACAACTTTGTCAAACGATTATCATGCCACACTTCAACCAGTCACAAAGGGCTTTAATGAAAGGAAAGACAACCGTTGTATCAGGCTCTTTGGCTGGGATCGGCACCGCCATTGCCGAGAAGCTTTCGATGGGTAGAGCAAACATAGTATTGAATTGTCCCTTTCCACAACTGCTGGCCGAATGTGAGCAGGTCGGAGCGAAAATGCAAACGCCTTGGATATCTGTATGCGCCGACATGTCAACTGTCTGGGGCCCTGCAGCCCTCGTCCCCGCCGCCGTGGCTCGCTTCAAGCAAATCGATATTCTGGTCAGCAATGCTGGTATGATACAGCTCGGGCCTCTCGGAGAGGCCAATGCCGACACCTGGGATCAGGCGCTCAATCTCAACTCCAGAGGCGCGTTCCTCCTTGTCAAGGCCGCGCTGCCATGTTTAACGCCCTTTGAGTCTCTCGCGAAGTCGACAGCAGCAACACTAGTCCATTCTTCTAAACGAGGCGGATTCCGAATCATCATCGTATCTTCTTTTGCTTCTCGGATGCCCGAGGTGAATCAGAGCATATACGCAGCGAGCAAGGGAACGCTGGATGCAATGATCAGGGTATGGGCTAGAGAGCTGCCTCCTGTGTACCGGTGCACTGTCAAAGCGGTTGCGCCGGGGTCAATCAGCACAGAGACATTCTTTAAGATCATCAGCTCTCGCTTCAATATAGTCAAGCAGGAAATGGATCTAAGAACATCTATCAAAGGCGCTTTCGGTGACGTTGAGAATGTCGCATTGACCGTTGCGTTTCTTGCCGAGGAAAGATCTCAATCGATTAATGGAGAATACCTACTTCTCACTGGAAGTTGTTACATCAATTGGTTGTTACATCAGCTAATAGTGAGCAAATGAGCATCCTTGATAGGTTTCTCCAAGATGACAGTAGTATACAGCGGCGGATCATGAAGAAGGCCTTCCTCCATCAATGCTGCTCTTGCCGACCTGGCTAATGTTCACAATGCCAGCCTTGGACAAGTCTTCCATCAGTGAGAAAAGCATGTTATCGCAACCTTTTGCAGCCATTTGATGACCTTAATGAGCAAGGATTTTGTGTGATTCATGGGCGATGTCGGGAGCCTCACTCATCACTGAGATACAACTTGTAGAAAATCTTTGCGGCGTCTGTGGCTCGGTAGTGTAGGTATCTATACAGGTACTTAACTTTCGGCGTTCGGAGAACGTATATAATCGAGCAAGACACAGAATCACGACACAGGATTCTGAAGTTGAACCAATCCATGAAATGATGCTTGTTCCTGATGTCATCCCTGGTGGTCGATGAGGATGCACCGCCGAGCGCCCAACGCTGGCTTGGCGCAGGGTTTATGTGAGGCGATTGGTCGGTCCATGTTCGTCGACGCGTATTTACGAGGCTCTTCGAATCAACACCGATCACATTCATTGTGCAACCTTGATGGCCAATGTCAGGTGGTACCTTGATAGATATAAAGATGAGCGAGGAACAAGGGCAACTTGCATTAGCTTAGGATATGTTGCAACCATACAACTCTTGCCCCGCTTCATCCAACTGAAAGCAGGATCGTAGGCTCGCATGAGCAGATTTTATTAGGTCGCAAGGAACAGAATGTCGCCACGTTCCCAGAAGTGTGTAGTGCCATCACAATCTTGAGTCATTACCCACTAATTTATTCATTTTCAAGATCTCTCGGGAAAGAGAGATCCTTCGTTAGTGTTCCGACGGCACTATGATTGATTCTGCTGCTGCAGGCTGCAGATCAGCCAAGTGGATGAATTCACTTTATTCAGACTAAGACCGACCAGCATTTATCATATTCATTTGCAGCAAAAACTATCAAGGTCATCAATGCTTCATGGATGATTGCAAGGCCACTGAAGAAGCGCAATGGCGGATCGCCTTCTCAGTTGTGACTTGTAAATAGGTGACGGCTCCGGCCTGGATGCGTTCTCTTCACGTTTTGACCGGATCAACGTTCCCTTTCCTTCAGTGGACAAATCTTCTCGTTTTCGACCTGAATCTTTGACGCAAATGATTCAGTAATGACGATGTCAATTCGACTTACGAGCTATCTTTTGCTAGCTCTTGGTCATCACGCCTCGAGTCGAGCCGCGCCTCAACACCCCTGGCTAAAAAGAGCCTCCACGGATCAGCACCTATTCCATGAGTTCGACTCAAATGGCGCCTGGTTTGATCAAGTCGCAGCTCTCGATGGAATCTCCACATCATCCAAGAATACTAATGCCTCCATTGCCATCGTTGGAGCCGGTATCTCTGGTCTCGCTACAGGCCTAATGCTGGACAGTGTCGGCGTTCACAACTGGGAACTCATCGAGGCTAGCGACCGCGTAGGAGGAAGGTTCCGAACAATATTCGTTGGCGGTACGGAGGAGTTCGCAGAGATGGGCCCAATGAGGCTGCCATACAAGGTTACGTACAAGAGCGATAACTCAACACACGAGTATACGGATCACCAAATGACATTCCAATTGGCCGCGCTCCTCAACGAAATGAACAATCACAACCCTGATCTGATGATCAACTTCATACCTTGGATTCAGCATCATCCTAATGAGCTCATAGCTCTGGGCACTGGAAGACACCCAGATGGCAGGGTCCCAACCCGCGCGGAAATTGCAGCAAACTCCAGCCTTGCCGCGCCCCCGATTATGACTTCGGCCGAGTACAACAACACCAAAAAAGAGTTGAACAAAATCCTCAAGAATGAGACTCTTTTGAGAGAGATTCAAGCAGATGTTTGGAACGTGCACAGGCGAGTTATGGACGAGGGTTACGACGACTGGAGCGAGCAGTCCTTGATGCGCAACCGCCTGCAAGCCGACGAGAATGTCACCGATGCCATCTGGACTGCGACTGACTATGATGTGTTTTGGGATGAAATGGTTCACAACTCCAACCTTGGTCTCGATGGATCGCTAGACTCTCTTGGAGAGACCGAGTGGAAGTGCGTTGACAAAGGTTTCAACCGTATCTCGGACGCCTTCATTCCACATGTTTCCAGCCGCCTCACTCTCAACAGAAAGATCCGCAAGCTGGAGTCAATTGAGGGACTCGATGGTCGCACACGAACTCGTCTGTCTTGGTATCCCAGCTCGAAGAATAGGACATTTGTATCCAAGGAGTACGACTATACCATCATGGCCGTCCCCTTCACTATGACTCGATTCATGGACCTACCCAAATTCTCTTCTGTTCTTGGTCGGGCTATCAGTGAGGCCGGTCTACGATTCAAGTCAGCTTGCAAGGTCTCGCTCCTATTCTCTGAGCGGTTCTGGGAGAAGGGTGAGCGGCCAATCTTTGGCGGCTATTCCAGGCCTGAAGACAAGGCTGTAGGGGCCTTGTACTACCCCGTTTATGGACTGAATGAGTCTCGACCAGGTCTCATCACTCATTACCGAGGAGGAGACTGGAGCGACAGATTTGTCAGTTTTAGCGAGGAAGAGCATGTGGGCTTGATGTTGGATTCGATTGCCAGTCTCCATGGTGAAGAGGTTCGTGATCTCTACACTGGGGATTATGCACGCCTCTGCTGGCTCGAGGATGAGCACTCAGCTACTTCCTGGTGCCGTCCAGATATCCAGCAGCATAAGCTATATATACCATCATACCACACAACGGAACACAACACTATCTTTATTGGCGAGCATACAGCTCCGACTCATGCTTGGATCAGCTCGTCTCTGCACTCCTCTGTGAGAGGTTCGGTACAGCTACTATTGGAGTTGGGATTGGTCAATGAAGCAAAAGAACTCAATGCAAAGTGGATGGGTAGATGGATCGAAGGAGGCAAATGAGGCTCATTTTTGAGAGTTGCATATGCTGTGGTTTGCGACCTCGAGAGAACTACTTCATACTGACCGCTCCGAGTGGGAGCCGGCAATTTAGTAACTTGTGTAGTTCACTGATTCCTTCTGAAAAGATTGGTCTGTTAAGGGCCTACTAGAATTGCAAGCGTACTTTGTCTGCTTGCCTGCTTCGCAAAATCCACAGCTTAGAATGATTTGTGATCTCAAACAAGTCAAACTTCTCAACGAGGATAGTGTATGCTGTTGCGGTTACATCTTCTCAACTGCTATCTTGGCCGCGGGGAGAGCTGTGGAGCTATTCCTACGTTGTGCGGCAAGTCATCCGATTCTTAATGGCGTGCCAGCTCTAACCGACTATCTCCGCACCTTGATAGGCATGGATCAGCGATTTCGGAAGCATTAAAGTGTATCGCTCCCCGCCTCTCGCAGTGTCGCGGCGCTCCGCATCATCTGAGTTGACAAGAAAAGCAAGCGAGAAGCAGAGCATCATGTCTGAACCAAAATCGGTCGCTATCGTGGGCGGTACGTGCAGAACTCAGTAAAATTTTGCAAACAATTAATTGATTTCTGTCAGCTGGCATTTTCGGCCTCTCTTTAGCCGTTGCTCTGAGCAAACGTGGTAAGCGCACCTTACTGTCATACCTGGATGTGGTAGGTACTCGAACTAATCCTCATTTCTCAGAGTACCGCGTGGCTGTGTTCGACAGATACCGTTATGATGAGACGCACTACGAGCCTGACTTGAATGGAAATACTCAGGCTGCCTCGGTAGATCACAACAAGATCGTGAGTTTGCGGAATTTGACTGCACATTTCAAGCTAAGCTCATATAATGTCTCTAGTTTCGAGCTTCTTACGGGAGTAAGCTTCATTATCAGCGTCTCGCGTTCGAAAGCCGTGCTGCATGGGAGAAGATCAACGAGAAAAGGCACCAAGAAGGCGATGAGCTCGATCAATCAGATCTCTTCAGCGGGAGCGGCATGCTTCGAGTTCAGCCCACCGCCGAACTCGATCCACTTGAGCGTGAGACACTGAGTAACTTTGAACGAGACGGCCTTAGAGATACTCAATTCGTCAAGAGCGACAGGACCGATCGAGCTCGAGCAGCTGAGCGTGGATGGGAAGGGAAGCTCCTAGACTTCGAGATCCCACAAGCCTCACCTGCTCAAACTTATGAAGCCGTTCTGGACTCAACTGCCGGGTTCACGAAATGCAGCGAAGCCTGCGCCTATTTCTACAAGTTGGCCCTCCGACAGGGCGTCGAGTTTCACTTTGGCCCCGAGAAGGGCGCCTTCGACAGCATTGTTGAAGAAACTGGCTCATCATCCCACCTGAAGAAGGCAGTCGGGGTCAGGACCAAAGACGGAATCACTCACAAGGCGGATGTCGTGGCCATTTGCGGTATGGTTGCTATTTCCTACATTTATCTCCGAGGTTGCGCGACTAATGATCAGCAGCTGGATCTTTCTCGACGCAGCTATTGCCTGATTTGTCCTACCATCTTGAGTCGTCTGCAGGAAGCGTCGTCACCTTCAAGGTGGACAAGAACGACGCGGAATTGTGGGACAAATATTCCCCTGAACGCTTCCCCGTCATCACTTGGAGGAGTGCACCACGCAACCCGAGCGGCAAAGACACCGGCAGTGTTTACGTCTTTCCTCGGACTGCCGATGGTCTCATTAAAATCGGATTCCGAGGCATCAAGGTACTTGTGCGTCGCTGTTTCCGCGCGAATCAGGCTAACAAGACAACCCCCAGTTTACCAACTTCCAACATGCTCCTTCGGAGGCGGGCTTCACTCAAGATGGCCAGTGGAGTGTGCCTCTCCCGCCTGCTGACTGCGGCATAGTTCCGGATCCTGCAAGGGAGGCCATTCGAAAGTTCGTCTCCATCTTTCTTCCGGAGTTCGCCGACAAGGACTTCAATTCGACTAAGCTATGCTGGTATACCGACTCACTGGACAACTCTTTTGTTGTGAGTCAGTTCTACCCTAAATAAAGCTTCTTCGCTGACTGAACTGTTCAGATCGACCATGTGCCTACTTATTCCGAAGGGTCTGTCTTCGTCGCGACTGGAGGTAGTGGACACGGTGCCAAGTTTCTCCCCGTGCTTGGCGAGGTGGGTAGCAAAGCTTCGAATCATCTTGGCATTTCAACTGACATTGAAAACAGCACGCAGCCGACATTTTGATACATGGTGACCAGAGTGATTCCTTCATGAGGCAACACTGGCGCTGGAGGGACAACATTCGCAGGGGCAACGGCCTAGAAGAGGGCCCTGAGGGACCGAGAAACATTGGTGGATCAAAGGAGGCTTAGCCGTTAGAACAGCGTGCGATTCGATAACATTGTGCTTAATCTGGCAAATCCAACCACCAATTTGATCACCGTCAATATTTGCATACAAGAATCAAGGATTCTTTGGTCTTGAGGATGCACGCCATACTTCTAAGTCATCGTGAATCTGATTCACGGAGCGAATGAATTGATCAGCCGCATTCCTCAACCCTGTCTTAGGAATCAGTGACCGACATCACATCCCCACGAGACGCGTCAGTTCTCGTTATCCAAAGCTGCACTGCTTCGGGCCCTTCGCCAAGAAGGCTTATTTTCCGAGCGCCAAGAGTCTAATATGGGTATTATGACCTGAAGGAATGGAATCTCACGTCTTCACAGGGGTGAGTTTGTTGGTCGCACAGAGATCTGCGCAAGAAGCAGGGGCTGTGAGCAACCTTGATGTCCTCGCTTTCGCCCCTTGCCGATCTCACGCATTGCCAACATTTCATTGGTGTTGTCTTCATCTGCTGGTTATTTTTGTCATTTGCCTGTTTAGGATCAAAAGCCTCATCTTGATTTCACCGGGGTCAGTCCAGCCTGTCGGGGACGATTCCACATCCTGGTTCAAAGCCACCTCTATGGTTGATGCTTTGGAAATACGGACTTCAAAATTCAGAAGAGCCAGAGCCAAGGTAATCGATGAGAGCTTGGGGCTTCTACAATCATATTTAAACCGTCCAAAACTCTATTCTCTTCCGAAAGTAATGGAACCCGGGTTGTTCGAATATTCATAGATCATTTTGTTCAGATTATCTTTGGTTCAAGGTTCCGAAATCGAAATCTCAGAATGTCGAGCGAAGCAGATCACGAGAAAAGGGTCGTTGAGAGCGAACCTATCTCTCATCCGAAAGCTGAACACACCGCCATCGTGACTGGTGAAGCGACATCTCCAGGATCACCCGCGGGACGAGAACAACATCATGCCGTCACCAAAGGCGAAGTCGACGATACAACGATCTTCTACAATCTCAACAAAGACAAAGTTGGGAATCTAGCACCTGAGGCTGAAAAGAGACTTGTTCGAAAGAACTTTTGGTTTCTCCTGGGACAGACGTGGTGGATCGCCTTCCTCATCCATCTGGATAAGTCGACTCTGTCGCAAGCCAGTACGATGGGCATATTCAAGGATGTCGAGATGACCAAAAAGCAGTACAATGATCTCTTTGTGGTGTTCTATACTGGCTACCTCGTCGCTCTCTGGCCTGGTGCTTGGTTATCACAGCGCACGGGTCAAAAGCAATTCATCGTCGGCTCCCTGCTACTCTGGGCCTTCTTGCTCGGCATGCACCCGCTTGCAAAGACGGGGAAACAGCTTATGGCGCTCAGATTCATCCTAGGCATGGTATGTGGGCTTCTCTTCACTTTCTCGCGGTGTCAACCTTGTTCTCTGACTTTTCCCAAACACTCAGACCGAGTCTCAGATTGTTCCGAGTACCACAATCCTTCACCAGGCATTCTTCCCTCCCAAAAAGAGCCCATGGGTTCAACTCCTATGGTGGGCTTCGGGAAGCTTGGCCAACGTCTTGCTTACCATGGTCGCCTATAAGCTTATTCTCCTGGATGACAGTCACGCTCTTGTTGGTGGGCTGTCGTCATGGAAATGGTTGCATATCATCTGCGTCATTCTTACATTCATCGTCTGCGTGCCTCTCGCATTCTTCTTGCCCAACTCTCCAGTGGAAGCAAAGTGGCTTTCGACAGAAGAGAAGATACATACCATCTCAGCGATCCGCGAAGCCCATTCCGGCATCAAGAACTCTTCCTGGAAGTGGTCGCATGTTCGTGAGGCTTTCACGGATCTCAAGAGTTGGCTGTTCATGTAGGTCTCCTCACGAAATCGTCTCACTCTGTCCTTTACAAACACTCTAACATCTCCATAGTTTCCACATGTTCTTCAACGAACTCCCAAACAACACATCGCAGCAACTGCCGCTGATCATCGTCGGTTTTGGTTTCACAGCCGCTGAAAGCGCTTTGTTCAACATTGCCAAGCCTCTCATTGGCTCACTTCTTATTCTTGTTTCCGCTGCCATGCTGTATGGAACTCGACTGGGCACCGGCTACACGTGTGCGATCTCTTACATACCATGCTTCGTTGGTGGTATCATTGAGGTGAGGGTCCCATTTCGTGAGATCATGGCAGTACTGACCTTCCTTAGTTAGCATCGCCCTGGTCCAACAAAATTGCCCTCGTCGTTGGCACACAGATTTCTACTTTCAAGCCTTCTTATCTTCTCGGCCTATCTTGGGCTGGGACAGCAACAACCGGCTACACCAAGAAGCTCACAGTGATGTCCACATGTGTTGTTGCCGCAGCAGTCGCAAACATGATCTCTCCTGAGTAAGCTCTTTCCGCGGCTGCCGATTCATGGGCCGATAATGACTGATATGCTGTCTCAGATTCTGGCAACCCAAGTACAAGCCGCAATACCGACTTCCCTGGGCCTTCATGACCGCCTTCTGGTTCATTTCTCCGGCAATGTGCCTCGTCATCCGATGGTATTTGGTCCGCGAGAATCGTCGGCGTCAGCTGATCTTAGAGAACGACGGAAGCCGAGAAGAGCATGAAGTTCTGGACACGGGCGACGAAGTCATCCAAGTTCACAATGAAGATCTTGATCTGACGGATCGTCAGAACCTCAAGTTTATCTACCCCTTGTAGACTTTCGATGAGGATTCGATGCAAGAGTTGGGAACTCTGGGGTTACGATAAATGATGCCCTCGGAATCAAAGGCCTTTAAGACGCATAGTTACCACGTCGACCTAAAGTGTCATATCCAGGACATGGAAGTTTCTCTTTGTTTCCATTTGCTTTCTTTACGTTGAGATTTCCATCGTTTGCCGATCCCGACTAATTTAGGAAAGGTGAAAGACAGCATCCTACTGCGTTGTCTTGAAAGAGTCAGGTGGCGGCAATATTAGAGAAAAACTTGACTACTAGGGCACTCAACCCCCAGTAGATAGCCAGAGGATTCAGGGTGGTAGATGCCTATGACGACTTCCGTGGAGGCGGATGTCTTCTTGTTGCATACATATTTTCCATGGTCAAAGCCCTTTATCAACTGTAGTTCCTGAATCCTAAGCTCATTGATCACAAGTTGGCTCAATGCGTTTCCGAGTCAACAGGTGCTCTGCAGCGACCGAGCCTATGTGTCTTGCTGTGCCATCTGATGCAGCGACGTCCCCACTAAGAGAGCTCTGAGGGCAAAAGGCCTCCATGACCATTGATATTGGCAGAAAGTGGGGGATAAATCCGTCTCCAAACCTTGAACATGTCATGTGCGATTGACAAGATCGCGGATCGTATTAGATTGCTCTCGAGTCTCGACTCTCAGAGTGGGCTCTGAGTTCGGGCTTCGGCGCCGCCGGCCGAGTGCTGCAGAGATTCCCCTCATTGCAACCCTCACAATTCTTCCCCGTGGGGTATGCTTCAGCTATCCTGACTGGTCAGTCAACATATTTTGGTACAAATTTCCATCACAGCCCCTCTCGTTCTTGTCCATAGTCCCTCACCAACTTCGGCGCCGACGCCGAAAGAGGTCCCAAATACTCGGTTGAGTTGATTTTGTTCTTCGATGAAGATATGGATCCAAGTCCCGATCAGCGGATGAAGATACCGGCAATTGAGTCTGGTAGCTCCACATGCAATGACGATGACAGAGTATCGCCGCCCCCCCGGCACACAGTCATGGCTTTAAAAGATGCGCAGAGCCTCTCAAAGAGGTCCATACCGACTGTCTCTAGAGAACAATGGAATCGTAATTTCATCATCGGCATCATGCTATCCGCAATGACTTTGGCGTTCTGGCTTCTGCCCACTGCGAGCGTGGCGAAGGCGAATTTTAGCACACAATGCGACTCATTACTGAGCTTAATCGCACCTCTCGCTAGCGATATCGGAGTCATTACGACGAGTTTCGTACCGACTAACTCGCTCAACGTATCTGGAACTTTCAATCAAGTCGCATTCTGTCGTGTCAACGGCAGCGCCCCATACCCGGAAAACAACAATGTCTTTTTCGAAGTCTGGCTTCCAGAAAGTATCGCGTATAATGATAGATTCCTAGCTGTCGGTGGGTTGCGGGATCATTCAGTAGACCTGGATTCGAGTTGATAAGTGGACAGGCAATGGCGGCTTGGCGGGTCGAATCGACTATGCCTCAATGCTAGAAAATGTCAACAAGGGCTTCGCAACTTCGGGAGGGGACAGCGGTCACCTCGCTTCAGATAATAACGACGGCGATGCATACCCAGGTGGCATCTACTTGCCGTTCCTTCACGACCAGGATCAAGTCCTTGCATGGATCCGCAATTCCATCGCGCTTTTCACGCCGGTGGCGAAAGAGATCGCAACGCTTTACTATGGAAAGTCTCCAGAACATACCTACTACAAGGGCTGTTCCACCGGAGGGGCTCAAGGCTTTGCACTTGCTCAGTATCACCCTCAGCTGTTCGACGGCATTGTTGCCGGCTGTCCGGGGAATTGGTACTCACATCTGGCGCTGTCCTTCCTGTGGAACCAGCAGGTAACTCTGGTAAGTTTATGCTGTTCTGAGTCCATGCCCACTCTTGAGGGGGCAGGACGTTACATTTTTCGGCCCGAATTGACGTTCAGGAGTATCTGCTAACACTTCTCAGGGCGCTTCCTTCTTGCCACAAGAGTCGCTCGACTTGATCGCAAATGCTGTTTTAGACAAGTGTGATACGCTAGATGGTGTTGAGGACCGAGTTCTCGAGAACCCACTGGCATGCACATTTGACTTGGACAAGCTCGCTTGCACGATACCCGCAAATAATTCGGCATCTTGTTTGACACCTGAACAACTCACAGCTGCCAAGGAGATATACGCGGGACCTCGCCATTCTCAGAGCAATACCAGCCTCTACCCTGGGTTTGATCTAGGGAGTGAGTCGGAGTGGATGATGCAGGAGGGTCGTTTGTCCCTTTCGTTTTCTCTTCCTCTCTTACAAAACATGGTTTTTGACGACTTGGGCTACAATGGCAGCACATTCAATTGGGCTAGCGATGTGGATGCGCTGGATCTCAAGGTTGGAAGCTTGATTGACTCCATCAGCCCCAATTTGACTTCCTTCAAGGACAGGGGAGGAAAGCTTCTCGTCACGCAAGGGTGGGCCGATCCTTTCAATGCTGCAACCTGGCCTATTGATCATTTGAATGAGATCACTCAGGTAACAGGTGGCGATCGAGACGAGTGGTTGTCTTTATTTATGGTTCCAGGTAAGTTGGAAAAGGCAGCCGCCATTAAGTGCCCCTCTTCAAGCGCGTGAGCACTGAAGTTCTCCTTTTAGGTGGTGGCCATTGCGGAGGTGCCTCGAGTTATACTCACGTTCCTGGGAGACAAAACTCCCTCGAAGCCCTAGTCGAGTGGGTGGAACAGAAGAAGAGTCCTGAAGCTCTTTTGGGTACATCGCCCGCAGATGGAAGCGAAAGAACCAAAAAGCTGTGCCGGTGGCCTCATACGGCCAAGTTTGTGGGGGCAGATGTTGACAGTTGGGAGTCATTTGTCTGCGAATGAAGCCCTTGTGCGTAACGTACTTGAGTCTCTAGGTCAAGTTGTATGCTTCGAATATGTACCCTTTATGGGAACGCTGGCGGCTTGGATGCTGCATTGGAAATTGTCAAACGCGGTACCATGAGCTCAATCGATGAGGGGTTCTTCTCTTTTCCCTGATGCTTTGGGAATATCCTTTACTGTGGTCTCAACACCAACCAGCAAGCTGATCACAATGAGCGAAAAAAGTCCAGCGACTCAAAAAGGAACAAAGCTCTACATCGCTTACCGAAACCAGGAAATCATGCGGACTCAACTAAATTTTACATTGCATAATTCTGACATAATGTGCCCCGAAACAATATTTGGTGGCCTGGCATTGCTACCCTGTCGCACTCAGCCTGGCCCGGAATTGAGAAAAACATTGGTAGCGCATTGGGAAGACCATTTCGTCAAATCACGACTGGCATCCGTATCGCTAGAGGCGCTAGGCAGTTATCATGTCAAGCCTAGGTTTCACCTATAGAGCGGACCATGCCGACTTCTTACTTTGTGGATAGTTGCCGAGGATTGGCGAGCCTTTACGAATAGTCCGAACCGTTCGCGTCTTCAACGGCTTTCGCTAATTTCCCGACAATATCAGATTCTTAGTGTTCTCAAGACACTTTAGCCGCTTTTAGCAGTCCTAGAGCGGCGTTACTTCTGAGTCTCTCCCGCAGGACTCAACATCTTGTCTTGGCTGTGCCACCGATTTCTATATTCGAGGCTCTGGCATAGAAGCGGGCCTATCACTGTGCTTTTTTGCAAAACCAAAGGCCCTTGCTTGGTCAAACACGCCTTGGGAAGTCCTAATAATTTCTGTCGACAAACCATTGGTTGTGTTTTCCACTTCCCGAAACCTGGGTTGCTCCGAAGCGCGAGAGGTTCGCATGTGCGATGACTCTTCTCAACATCAATGAAGGGGTACACCCAATTGATCATTTGAGCCTCAAGCGTTTCATAATAATCAGTAAATTCATTCGCCCATAGGTCGGGATAAGAATTCGAGGTGACATCGTGGACTCAATACGACCCCGGTTCTTGGCTCATCAGTCAACGCCGTGACCCATGATAAAGGCACTGTGTTCAGCATTAGTCCCAGCAACTCCAATCCCACGACCTGATAATATGGCATAAGTTGCAGATTGAAAAATACACGAGCTAGAACTCGACCTCCAGCACGAGACTTTCTTGGTTTGTCTGGAATATCTAGAACTTCTGTCTGCATGTAGTGCACATCATCTAGTATCAACTTTGATGAGAGCTGCTTGTCGTCAAAGTTGCTGTGGACGACATAGAAGGGTAGAATAAGGCGCTAAACTGGCTTACATTTCTTCGTCATTGGTGTATCAAAATACGGGATACAGCCCGCTTTCAATTGCATTAACTCGAAGCACAGGACGTGGATTGCCACCTTTTTCAGGAGGTATCACCAAGGATCCCGCCCAGGCCTATGATCCCGGATGAGAAGTGGGCTCCACAAGTTCCTTTTTAGCTCTTTGGTGACCGTACCACTGTCTCTAAACCTTGAATGATTGTAGTATTGCGAATTTGGTCATTGTCTTCTCACCACCGTCACATCGAAGCTCTGACGGACCTCCTTCTACATATTTGCAGTTCTGCGCTCCCTGAATGCATAGGTAATTGCCTCTATATCATTCTGAAAGCTAGTTCCTATGGGTACTTACTGACTTTTATCATTCTCATGAGTCCACTGAAGAGGTGACTGGATCACAAGTCATTTTGCGAATGCTACGCAGACGCAATCTCCAGCCACAACTTCCCTCTCGCCTAATTTTTCTTGGCATCTGCTGTTAGTGAATGAGTGAGCCTACCACCAAATTACTAACAGCCGAAAACTCTTCACCTCCCCTTGCCGGAGCCCGCATCCGCGATGGCCTCACAGCCGCCGTCGGGCACCGGACTGATGTCGGCCGACCAAGCCGACCCCGAACCAGGCTCCGGGACACCTCCGGAGCCGAACCCCACCTCAAGAGCTAAGCGACGCCGCGACGCCGAGGCACAGCCGACCCGGCCCAGCCTAACGGGAAGCCAGCTTGATGCCACCACCGACGCCCCTACCTCGGCCGAGGGGCCCGCAGCCTCTAC